TTTCCCATTTTAGCTGCTCTCTGAGCAGTGAAACAAAGCATGACAGACCTCCATGTCTGATTTCCCTTTTTTTTCCATCTCCTCCTGTCCTCCTGAGGACCTCATCATGCTATCAGCTCCCCTGCTCCCTCATCCCCACCTCTACTTCCCCATATGCTACCTCCCCACAGTGCCCCATAGGCAGCATGGGACAGGATGGTGGCCAGTACCCCCTATGTTGAGTGCCTGGAACACTTGGAGCAGTGCAGGGAATTGCTGAGCACTTTGTTTTTCTAATGCAGCAGAGAGGAAAATGTCATTCTAGATCTGTACCCACTACCTAGAAACTGGGTTTCATAAAATCTATGGGAATTCAGTCTGCAGAATTCAAAAGGGAAGGACACCTATATTAAGGCAATGTGACTGCATTAGGATTTCTTACCTGGGATACGTTTAAAGGTAGATGAAACAGCAATTTTAGTCACAATTACTACATTTGAAACACAAAACCCATGAGAGAAGGATCTCTGGTTCTTGTCACAAGCCCTGAGATAAGTCTCTCTTATGCAGCCTTTAGAATCTTTTCTTTTTTGTATCTACTGGGACACGCAGCTGGAGTTACCAAACACTGGGAATATCATTAACTTACACTTAAGTCAGAGCTCATCTTTTTGCTGCTAGCACTGCTACACAGGCAGCACACTCTTTCTCAGATCACAGCCCACATACAAACAGCTCTGGTCAATGATTATCCCTTGCAAAAAGCCTGTGACATCGTCCCTCCGGTCACCTGTTTACACCCCAAATGTTCTCAAGTTCTGCTATTTCAAGCTTAACTCTTCTGACCTTAGTCAACGATATTCAATCCAAGGCCTCCTTCCTATATCCTGCAAGGCAAACAACTTCAGGTCAGTTTTAGCAACCAGCGCTATGTCGTGCCTGTGGTCAATGACTAAATATGCCTACGCCCACATCTCCTAAATTTGGATGTCTGTGATAGCAAACAGCAGGGTCTGGCTGGGCAGCTCTGTTTCACTGAAGATGATTTGGGGCGTTTTTGCTCTTGAACGTTTTCTTATACCTTCAGACCATTGCCTGGATGATTTCTGACTTATCAGGAGGGACCAACAAAGCAGGATAAGCAAAACCATTGTGACTCCCACAGAATGCCTCTACAAGCAGATGAGTCAGATTACAACTCCACGAAGCAGAAGATATCTGCCTCCAACAGTGCAAAGTACAAAGCTTACAGATGGTACAAAACCAGGTCAGATTGTCATATTTCTCCTAAATACTTCACAGACTCAGCAGGTTGCAGCTCAGAGACGTCCTGGGTTGGAGATGGTATGACTGTGTTTAATGCCCCTGAACTGAGCTTCCTACCAAGCATTTACTCAAACATACAACTTGAGTCCATACATCTTGAGCCCATACAACTTTCTGTATCCATAATGCCCTATATAAAAAAGCTCCTCAGCTTGTGTGTGAACTCTTTGATTCTGCTCCTTCCATTTCAGTCTTTGTTCACTGTTCCCAGGACAGTGAGAGACTGAGTCCCATTCAAGAGGTGAGCACCTGGTCTTTTTTGGAAAATGCTGTTGTTTCCCCAGGAGAGCCAGTCAGTAGGTGACCAGTCTTTATTCTAGCACACTCACACAATACAAATATCACCTTTGCAAAGTTCCCTTTGGTGGACACAAACAAAATGACTCCCTGCAGCTTTTCTGTATTTAAAGGGGTAAAGGATTACTCCTCTAAAAACAAATGTTCAGAAGCAGCTCAGCTGCATCTTAGTTTGCACGTTTTTCATCTCTTAGGAGACAGTGCTAAAGCTTACCTGAACTACTCCACGCCATTGCATGCTGACATTGCACAGGTTGCAGAAAAAGCGTTATTCAGTTTGTTACCCTGACCTCAGCTCTGCTGATGCGTCTCATTTGTGCCTACTTCTCTTCTTACTGCTCTAGCCTATGTATGCCAAAGGTGAACTGTTGCTGGTCCAGGGATTACAGACACGCTTGCATGCTTTCACAGAAGTAGACAGCTCTGCACCATAACACCACTCTCACACTTCCTCTCCTCAGAAGAACCAGTCCAAGGAGCTGGTTTAAGCAAAAGTCTGCAAGTTATTGTACTGGCACAGTGGAGGGGAAGCTGCTCTGCAGGACAGGGACAAGAATAAGTGCCTGGAGGCAAAGAGCACTGGAAGTGACATTTTCCCTGCATCCAGTACATTCTGGGCACTCTCAGCAGATGGGCAGTGCTGGAGGTGGCTGGTAGCTCTTAGGCTTGCAAAGCTCTGACTTTATATACAAACATATATACACACATGCATACATATGTAAACAGTTCCTTCCCACTGTATTTATACGTCAAGCATGCAGTATGACTTCTCTTGATTTAGGCAACACTGAATAAACCATCTTTAACACCTTCAGAAAAAAAAATGCAGTTTTTAGAAAAGCCTGGCTGCTGGCTTGTGGCAGCTCCATCTCATGTCTCCCAACAATCAGTCAGTACAGCCAACCTTTTGGTCTCTGTCTCCAGCTTCCCACCAGTCCTGCCCCATGCAGCTGGGAGAGATTCCAGGCACATCAACACTACCAAAACCCAGCAGACTGGCCTATTTTCTATTTGTTTCTCTGCATTGAGTGATCCCATAAAGCAAAACATTTCTGTCGTGTCAGAGAACCAAAATGTCCTGTGTCCAAAACAAAAATAGAGACCCAATAAAATCCATTAATATGTTACTAAATAAGATTTGCTTGCCCTCTCTGGCCCAGAGCTGAGGTTCCCAGGAGGTCTGTTAATATTCTGTTTTCCCATTACATGCAATGCACTTGCTAGGATTCTTTGCACTCCGAGTACAAAGTGGGTGGAATGGCATCCATCATGGATGTCACCAAATTTAGAATAAAACATACACATCTGCTTACATAACAAGTTGAATGGGCTTGGTTCACAGAACTAGATATTTGATCCATGGCTCAGCTTGGGTGTGGGAGATACCAAAGTGGCTATGAGCCTTTCCCCCATCCAGTAGCTGGATAGCTCTGGTACTAATTTGAGGACCATGTGTACATACCTCTAACAGGAACTGGCTGGGAATAGCTCTGAACGAGACACACTGGGAATTGAAGCGAAGTAGGCAGCAGCAACTAAGACTGGATGTCACGGGAGGCCAGGAGTGGATGTCATAAAATCCCTATGCTGTTTGGAACTCCTTCATCCACAAGAATTCTTCAATAGGTGGCCCATTAAATTTTGCAGCTGACTTGCAAGTCCTGGTGAGAGTCATGTGGCCATGGCAAGTGACTGCAGGGAACTGACTTCATGTATCCTTCTAATTGAACATGAAATCCTGTTTCCACAAATATCACGAAAGTTTTGGCATCTTACATGGAGAAAACTTAGACATCTGTCCCTTAAGCTTTCTTCTGCTTTCATGCTGATCTGCTGTCTGCACATCCTGGAAGCTGTGGGGAACCAGTTTGCAAGCACTGTACACATGCAGTGTGCCACAGAGCCCAGGACTCCAATAGCCAATGGGCTCCAAGTCATTCCTTTCAAGGAAAACATAAAAAATGCTTTTGCCTAATAGAGGGGGAAACTTCAATCTTCCCTTTAATCTCCCCAAACTAATCAGCTTTTACAGGAGGCTATTTTAGATGTCGATTCTGTAATAGCGAAGTTATTGGACAAATGAAGAACATGGTATATGCTGTAGCTTTGAACGATTCACATTCCTCAGGTGCTAAAAGCTTGAAATACTTCCTCTGGATATGAAATAGATCTGCCATCAAAGAAGTCAGCATTCCTCACAGTGCCTGTCCCACAGATTCCCATAGGAGAAAGTCTGCAGAGCTGAACTGGTCTGACCCCAGGAAGTCCTTTCCACATCTCTCATTCTTGCCTCGTTTTGCCTTGAATTTTCAGGATTTGCTGAAAGGCCAAATTGATGATTGGCTGTCTGTCTTTTCATACACATTCTTGGCCTTCCTTCTTAGATTAACACAACATTAAAGCTGGGATGTTAACCATGTGAGTGAGGGGGTCCAAGATGCTAACAAAGCCCTTCTGGAGAATTCTCAGAATTCTGGAGAACTCAGTCAACACTGCTTACACTGGTGTTTGTTTGTTTGTTTGTTTGTTTACATTTTCTGATTTCTTTGTTAATAACACAAGAAACTGATTTAAGACTGAAGCGAAGTGCAGCCCAGACAATAACATCTCCCCAAGGAATTCTAAATACTGTGAGCTTATCTGCGTCCATTTTAGCAAAACAAAGTGCTGTAGAGATCTCCAATTAAAACATTCGTAACTTTTCTTCCCTTTCTTGGACCACTGATGGGAAAAGCATGAAGAAAATAAAGCAAGTGCAGGGTGTTGCATGGAGAGCTTTGGATGCAGTAACAGCTGGAAGCGAACCAAGTAAAAAACACCCCAGCAACTCCCTCCTTCCTATACTGGGAGATAACTACATCATCTCTCCCTGCAAGTTTATGAATTAGATGATGCTAAATGCCCCTCCTGCACACCCCACACAATTGGTGCAGTCCTAAGTATTGGTAGGACGTTTTACTGTAGGAATTATTTATGAACCAACAGCCCCAACGGCGTGTCTGCAGAATGCAATGAGGAAAGCTGTGTTTTCAGCCCGTGCTCCATCTGGGTAAAGCCGAAGCTGAGAATCTTCTGCAGGCCAGGCACTCCTTCAGGGAGCTGAGGGAACAATTCACGCAGCCCTCTGTAAAGTCAGCTTGTGGCCGTATTCATCACAACGTATATTTTTCCTCAGCTTTATTAATACGAAAGAGCAGCGTGTTGCAGAGGTGACGCTGACGCAAAGCCAAAAACCCACAGAACGCTTCACAAGCGAAGGAAAGCCAACAGCACGGCCGATCCTCCACGCAGGCCGCGGCCTAGCCGTGCGAAGGGAGGCGGCTCCCCGCAGCAGCCCGCCCCGCCCCGCCCCGGCTGCGCCCAACGGCGGCGGCGCGGCCCGGTAGGTGCGTGTGTGCGGCGCGGCTGGGCCGCCTGCAGGCCGCAGCGAGGCCTGGCCCGGCGGGGTGCGGGGCGTCACGGGGAGCCCTTGTCCTCCCTGCACCCCGGGTGGGATGAGCGGGTGTCGGTAGGCTGGGAGTTGGAGTATAAACGCGTCCTGCGGTGTGATAAGAGGCGTGATAAGCTGCTGGGCTCCTCTAAAAATTTGTTTTCTGTGTGCTGTGAGTCGGTGATGTTGCGAAGGCTGCAATGGGCACTGAGAAAAATGGTACCAGCCCCACTGTGAAGACGTTCAGGCTGGGGGGAACGCGGCCTGACCAGCTGTGCAGTAATGTGTACGCGTGCATTTTGAATAAGGCTGTGCTGTGGTTTCCTGTCACGTTGCTTCTGTTCTGCAGGGAGCTTCCTTTGGCCTGCCCTGCGTTAGGTGAAAGGCTGTGGGGTCAGTGACAGGTGGTGCAGAGATCTCAGAGAAGGGGGATCTTGTAGCTAAATGCTGGAAATTCAACCACCACGCAGGTGTGTATGTGCCACAGAAGTGACAATTTGGACCCAATCAGGAGGAGAGATACCCGATCTACAGGAATGCCATCTGATTGGAAGATCTGCTTTGAAAATGCTCTTCTAAATAAGATTGCCACGTTAGAATTGAAGCTACTGTGGCGTGAAAGGGAAAGTGTTTGAGGTCTGCTGGTTCACGTCTATGTTTGACTCAGATTTTCACAGCCTTTACAGTAAGCAGTGATTTCATAGCTTCCTGGAAGCATCTCATTATAGGAGAGGCTTTAGCTTTTGTTCTTGTGTTACCTCATCAGAAGTTTTTTGTCTCACCAGTACAGCATGTGATCCAAAGCCGTGTGGGAAATTGTCCCCACTCCTCAGATCCTTTGTTGATGTAGAGCCTGAAGGCTTCGTTCTGGGGTTCTGAAAATGCTTGCTGTTGTGGTGGACATTACAGCAGTTATTTATCTTAACCTGCATTTACAAGTGTATCTCTGCAGATCATCGTCTGTTGAAGGCCTCAAGTCAGTATTTTGTTTTCTTACTTTAATTATTTGACTGTGTCTGGTACTACAGTGCAAAACACAGACAAATATTCTCCCTGTAACCATACAGATTAATCCCAAATCACTAAATGTAGGAAATCTTTCCTCTGAAAATAGAAGAAAGGCACTTTCTCACTCACAGACACAGGTTCATGGCACGTGTGATTCAACGTCCCAGTTGAATCTCCTAGAGCAGCATCTTAGCTGTTACTGAGTTTGTTTCATGACTGATGGCAAAATGTGATTTTTTTGCATCTGGTTTTGCTGGAGAGTTCAGGCTGTTTGTGCAGGGTTTCAATACTAAGACCTTTCTTTGAGTAGCTGGCCTGAAATATGGAGAAAATTATCTGTCCCATATCCCTACCTGTCAAAATTTTCTCATAGGACTTCAGATATGACTCCTCTGTAGGACTGGGTATGCAGCAGATCCTTTCTCTGGGTGTGAACTCAGGAGGAACCATGAGAACCTTCTGCTTCTGTGCTTATGCAGGGAGCAACTCCAGGATTTTTCTGTGGGTCCATCTTTGTGCTCTGTGCCTTTCCTCCTGGTTCTTAAGTTGCTGTGCTTCAACAGATGCCCTTAAGTGGAACTCTCTGGATATTATTTGGATATTTGAGGATTTCAGTCACCAGGTTTTCCTTTTTTATCAATGCATTAATGAGAGAGACATCTTTGGTCATTCAGTGAACTTTACAAATCATGAGTGTTTTCAATGTCGTCATGTAAGCGGAAAAAAATTACTCATAGTTTTTGGATGATTAGCCAAATACTCCCAGAGGACATTCGCTGCACATAATGTCGATGTACATCAGAAAACGGAACTGCCTATCAGTGTTTGTGGCCTCACTGAATGCTGCTTGATAATGGCTTGGTTAACTCTGGTCTCTGGGGACTGAGCTAACTAACATCCGTTGCCAGTATTATACTTAACTTGTGTGCTTTCATTTCATGCAGCTTTGTCACGCTGCTAGAATGGTGGGGAAAAATTAGAATAGAATAAAGTGACTTGAGAAGATCAACCAAAATTAAGTGGAATTTTGATGAGGGATTTTTTTTCTTCGTGATGTTTCATTGCTTTCTCTCATTTTGTATCTTCTTTGGTCATCACAGAAGGATGATTGTGTTTCACTCTGAAAAGCTCAAGATGTCCAGCAGACAGTAGGAGCATAGACTGGAGCTGGAAGGACTCCGTGCAGGAAATGACATTGCCAGACCTACAGAGCACTCAGTAAGGTGTATACAATCATTGTTTGTTTATTTTACCATCCTTTGGAGGTGTTAGTAGGATTGCAAATACTATTAAAGTCTGTCTCTGAAGAGATTGATGTAGTATTTGTGATTATAGTTATCAACCCCTGCCTGTACTCTTCTTTCAGGAAGGTTTTTCAGCCTCTTCTCATGCTGTTGTCCAGAGAGGTGGCTGCAGCCCTCTGATTCAGTGTGAGCAACTCCTGCCTCAATAAGATGGTTCCCATCCTGAACACTTTGTGCAAAGATAGGAAAGAAGGTGTGAGTAAGTAGGCAGCCCTTCCAGTGAGTGGAGGTCACCTCTAGAGTGGTGAAAGGATGTGCTGAGCAACATTTTGCAGTGACCTGGAAAAGGGGCATGGTGCTGACTGTCACAATGTTTCCAGCTGGTTTAACATTATTTTAGGTGGTGAAGAGGAAGGGTGACTGGTGAATTGTAAATGTAAACTGATTCAGGTGGCTTTTGAAGCTGTAATTACTACTTCTATGATGCTTTCTTCTTCAGTAAAGAAGGCAAGGCATACTTTACCATGTCTCTTGCAAATACAAGAGGCCTATAGGGAGAACCAAACTGCATTTCTGAGAGGCAGGTTCATAACTCCTTAAGGGAACGTGTAGCAAAGTGTAGGTAAGTGATGGTTGTTGCAGCGTGGTTGGATGGTGTTACCTTGGTTCAGAGGATCACTAAAGGATAAAGAGGATAAAGCTCATGGTTACTAAGTACATAGAGCTGTGCCTGCCTGAAAGGTTTCTGGCCAGAGATGTGGAGGATGCTTGGAGAAGCACTGTGTGTTCCCTCTATTTTTTCCTTGCCTTCTGCTTTTGACCTGTGATGAGAGCAGGCTGCAGGAAGAAATGTCCTTTGGTTTTGCCCACTGTGCTATTTGTATATACCCATATAAAATCTATACAACTGGGAATTGTATAAGGAATTGTTTCCCCAGAAGTGGCAATGTAGTCTTGCATACATTGCTTCATCATATGTGTGTCAGGAACATCTGGCAGCTGCAGGTATCTGGGTCTTTGAGCTGAGAGTATATGCAAATTACTGATGCAATTACTTTGTCTTATTGACTACACAAGGAAATACCTACCCATGCTGTCTTCTTATAAGGATTAAAGACATCTGTGTAGACTCTGTTGTCCTTTGTCTTCAGGGGGTGTCTGCTGCTGAGCTGTATTTGTACATCAGTTTCAGTGTTTCTGATTCTGGCTTACAGGGGCCCTAAACAATTGCCTGAGAATAGACCAGCAGGCCTGAACACTTCAGGTACTGCACAGAGCTGTTCAGTTCTTAATCTTTCTCTTCTGACTTCCCTGCTTCTTTATGTGTGCACACAGGTGCTTAACAACTTGCAGCTGGTTTGGTTACAACAGAATTAGTAAAAAGTGATTGAATCCACAGCTGGTTCTTATTTGGGACACACAGTCTCAAGGCTGTGGGATTTGTCTGCAGACCTGCATATGAAGAGATGGAGTCTCTTACTTCCCAAATAAATATGGCTTGGGTACTTGAAATGCACTGATACCTATACTGTGTTTTTTCGTATGCAAGAAGGGATTTGTACGTACAGGTAACATCCTTTATAGAAAAAGCAAATAGGCTTCAAGGCATAGAGTTTTATGTTTTGTATCGGGGCATGGACAAGCACAAAGCATGCATTGGGGCTTTTCTGGATTTCTGAGACAGTACTGCATTCCCTTCACTCTGTTATTGCTTTTAAAACAATCACATGTTGTAGGCTCTGAATTTCTCATGACTATAAGGCAGTATCCTACTGCTGCCTCTAATGAGAGGTGAAGATGCTGAGGTCTGTGTGGGATCAGCCTATAGCAATGAAATTACAAGTGCCCTTGGGCTGCCAGTGTAATGTTTGTGTAAGAACACTTGTATCTTCTAAGAATGACTTAACTGCAAAGGCAGTAGGTGTCAGGCAACTCAGATCCTGTTTCTGATGCTGCATTCCATAAAAGCACAAATTACCAATTGAGTTCATGCTCTGCACAGATTGCTTACGTTTTCAGCATGTCTTCATGTAGTTCCAGTTAATGCTGTCAGAGAAGCCTGGAAGTAGTTTTCAGCAGGAAACATTCACTTGGTTGACTTTTTAGAAATTAGCCTGATATGGAGAAGTGTTTCTCTTTTGTCCCTTCCTTCCTAAACTTTCTGCTATTCACATTCTCCTTCCCAGACAGGACTCATATTTGCAAAGGCCATCAGGCAATTTAGTCTGAGGAAGGTAAGTGGTTTCTAGACATTTTTAGGAGTTGCCACAAAGTGAAAGCTATAGTATAGAGCAGGACACCTGACATGGAGTTGGCAATTCTATGGCAAGTCTCTAACATCACTGAATTATTGCAATACAGAATGCAGATGTTGCACTAAAATAGCTCCAACCAAAGCTGGTTGCAGTCTCAGTGCTAATCCATCACCCTCAGCTTCTACATTGTGCAGTTAGCCAGCAGACATTTCAAAGAGCTTTATAGAATGAGTAAGTTTGTTCTTGTTTGACAAGAGTAAGGACTGCAGCACAGAAAAAGATACACGAACCTTTTGAAGCCAGCACAATGGTGACAAACCTCGAAGAACAATTTCAGGTTATGTAGTTGTCACAAATACATTCTGTAGTTTGGAACACACTGTTCTTCATCTCTTTGGTAGGTGAGCTGAAGCTTTACTTTGTGGAGGTCTTAGTACAATCATTTCTGCAGCGTGACAAGCTTGACACTGACTGTAAATCAGGCATCTCCCAGCTCCAGTGTTCTGTGTCCCATGGAGATTTGGATTCTTACCCATTACATCACTATTTAAAATGATTGATATGTCACTTCTGTGAACTTCTTGAACCAGCACAATTTTAGAAGTGTTGTCATATTCTCTTTTGCCTGCTTAATAGATTTTATTTAAGTTCTCAGTAGAAAGAAGATGGTATGGGTTTACCTTTGCTTTCATATTTCCTAACCTAACAGTTAGCAAACATATTTTTACTGCTACGTGGATCAGAGTTTATTGTTATCTTAAGCCCTTAAAAGATGAAAGCTCAAACTGCAGTATTCTGTTTGCATGTCTGTACAGCCCAATATTTGCCTAACCTGACGTAAATCCAGCTGAATATGTCACCTGCTCCTGTGCTTTGCCTGGACTGTCTAATCAGTAATACCTTGCAGAGCCTTTGTAGAGGGATGTGTAAAAATAAGAATTTGTGGAAATGAATTATTTTAATCTTTACGTTTCCAAATATGTTTGCATTTATTTCCTAGAACTATGCCAAGAAAAAGAAAGCTGTGGGCTCAGTTAAGCTCCCTCCAAAGCAACTCCAGCATCCCTGCTTCTGATGCCTTGAAGAGCCCCACCACGACTCTTGATGGGAACTCTTCTCCAAAAAGCAGCAAATATTTTGTAACAGAGAAAAAACAATCTTCCCAACTTGAAGCAGATTTCTTCAACCAGCCCTGTATCAGCCTGGCCAAATCCTTCCTGGGACAGGTAAGACATAACACTGACGTTAGCTACTACATGCTGCACTACAGTAATAATTTAATGTAAAGGGATTATCTTTTTTCTTTTTTCTTTTTTTTTTTTGCAGTTTGCCTCTGGGGCTTTGCTATTTCAGGAGTACTGTTCTCATTATTTTTCTTGTAAAATTCTGGTTAAATTGAAGACTAGTTATTAAATCTATTTTGGATGTAGTCACAGAGGTAATTTTTTTAGGCTTAATTTACTGTCGCACTTCAGAATTAGTTTATTTTTGTGGAGTTTCTCCTTTTTTTCTGGTTTACTGAATTACACTTTGCTATTTGTGGTTTGAAGGTTTTTTAAGGCCAGTTATTTTCCTTTCAGGTACTTCTTTATTTGTTCTTGGCTCCTGCTTTTCCCACTGGAAAGTAATGCTGTGCAGCCAGCATCATTTCCTTCTCTACCTCCATTTGATTATCTTGTGATGCTAATAGCAGGTCCTTGGCCTTTTTTGATTGATATCCACTGTCACAGTGTACTGACATTTTATTCTCATCTGGCAGTTCAGCAGCCTGCTTGATAGTTTCCTTTATGCTGCCTTGTATGCTCTACAAGTTTGATCTACCTTCTTTTATTTTTGCAGTTCTGAATAATTCAGGCTTACCAGTAGAGATGGTGCTCACCTCTCCCACATTATTAACAGAAACATGTGAGGCAGCATACGCCCTGGCATGGAGGCCTCTGGGACTCCACAGCTCTGCAGTTAAACTCTATTCATTCTGAAACCTGTTCATGAAAGGACCTCCTCCCTTATGCCAACGCAGAAATGTTGAGAAATCTTTGGATCCTGCCCTTGGGAGAAGGGGAGCTAAACTGTGTCTCTTCTGCTCAGTGAGTCCTTCAAAAAACTCTCTTTTCATTTCAGAGAGTTCCTCCAGTGTTGTCCCTGTAAAAAGTTTGAGTCTGGGACCTTCTAAACACAATTGCAAAATGTGTTTTAGTATCAGTGCTGTGATCTTACCTTCTCTGAGTCCTCTTTATATTTTTATTACCTGGAGGGTGAAGAAACTTCCTGGGTTCTCTTTACTTTAGATACTTCGAGAATTTGTTCCAGTAACTTTGTTTTGGCCTGTATCTCTGTATCTACCATTGGTTTTACTTCTGGAGAATATTGTCTTGCATGTGATGGACACCTTTGCTCTGCTTTGCTCCCGCTGTGTTTATTTTTGGTCTTTCTCAACCTCTCTCTTATACATCAAATGTATTTTTTCTCTTTATAGACATCCTGCTAGAAGTTTGCCTTTCCTGCTTTAACTTCTGGCTGTCTCTTTTAAGTTCATAACAAGCTTCCTTGTTTTATGTAGTTTCCCCTTCTTGCTGATAAGCAATAATGTAACAGATTATTTTTGGACCTTACTTGTGGAAGGACCCTGAATTTTATGCTTCATGGTCATGACACAAAATTGTTTTTCAGTGCTGAGTCTTTGGTGAAGAGTTCGGATCAGTTTGAGAGTTTTGTTTTCTCTTGGGAGATCCCTGATTATTGACTCTGCAAAGTACTTTTTGGTGTCTAGAAAATACAGTCCGTGTCCCATCCCACTGTGAGATTTTCTTGCTGTGTATGAAGGCACCTGAAGCTGTCCACTAATGCATTTTTTGGTGTCTCAGTGACTTTAACATCCTCATACATTCATCTCCCTAGGCAGATAATACTTTACTCCTATTTCTATCCTTTTCCTATTTAGGCCTAGAATTACAAATCAGGCAAATTCATTTTAACATTTTCTTTCAAGTATAACTTATGTTCTCCTGTGACCCAATCTATGCTCTTGTTTTCATATAACTGCATTGGTAGTTTTAATATTTCGTTATCTTTGTTCTACCAGATCTTGGAGGTGCTTTCTGTACTAGTATTACTTATTACATTTAACTGTTTCAGCTGCAGATATTTTGTCAGAAGAGTCAGGGAAATGCCTGCATACTCTTAAAACTGTAACCTTACCACTGCTTTTCACTGTACTGAAAGGCCACGTGGGTGTGCTTTTGGAGTATTCACATGCAGCAGTACTTTTCTGAAATCATTGTTTTTCACAACAATAAAATACTGATGTTTTCAATTAATTGGGAAATACTGTGGGGAATGCATGAGATACAGGAATTGCAGCTTTGTAAGGAGTTCGCTCATTGTTTTGTTTTCTTCAGGAGAATCTTTTCAGAGATTGTGGCTGTTTATTTTTCTTTTCCTCATCTACTTGGTTTTATTTAAGGAGCTGGCAGCAAGGAGGAGCACACTGCAGTAACAAAGACCTGCTTTTTCTGCCTGAGGCCAATTACCAGCTCTCCTGCACTGGTCCTCTGTGCTGTGCAGAAAACACAGAAACAGCACTGATATTTCAATTATGGTTATCTCTAGAGTTAGGTGCCAGGACTTTTTTGAAACACCTCCAAGGGGAGAGTCTATCCAATCACAGTAGTTATTTAATTAATGCTGCTGTCATATTTCTTCTGATTGAATGAATACACCTTCATGGTGCTTTATATCAGTGGTGCTTTTTGCCTTAAGCCACTTGCTGTTCTGGTGGTTTGGGGTGAGAATGCAGAAAAGAACCACAGAAGCAGTTCTGTGGGCTGTGGAGATTGCTGCTTTGTTGTACATATGGTCATAAATTAATTCTGTATGATACTGCCACAGCTATGCACCCCAAGCATTTTGCTGGGTGAGTGATAGGTAGAAACTTCTTGTACTGGGATGTGGTCCAGACAGATGAAATTGGAATCGTTCATGCTAGCTTACAGCCTGCATTCAGAGAGTGAGAGGAGAGTGGGCAGTGCCTTAAGGGCCCTTTTTCTGATGACTTTGCTTCCAGAAGCCTTGTGCTCTGGTTACTTTGCACAGGGGGCTGTTGCTAACTGATGCCCTCTGACCTCTGTTTCAGATTCTAGTTCGCAAACTTCCTGACGGCAGGGAACTCTGGGGGAGGATTGTTGAAACAGAAGCTTATCTTGGTGGGGAAGATGAAGCTTCTCACTCAAAAGGTGGGAAGCAAACTCAGCGGAATGCAGCCATGTTCATGAAACCAGGAACTCTGTACGTGTATCAGATCTATGGGATTTATTTCTGCGTGAACGTTTCCAGCCAAGGTGAGTTGAGGCCAAAGCACATTCAGTGCCTATGTGTCAGCTTCAAACACTATGAGCAGGGCCATCTCTGGCTACACAGCCAGGTGGGATTTTGGTCCCAGCTGCAAGATCTTTGAGCTGTTCAGATGCAGAAATAAAGATCAAGGACTGGAAGGGTATCTTTACAGGATGGTGCTTTCAGTTTGGATGAGCTGAGCTGCTGCCTTATCCGTGTGATGCAGTGCACTTTGTTCCTTCAGGGTGGTGGTGTGAAAGGAAACTTGCAGTCTAGTGAAAATCTAAATCTTGGTGTCCACTGTCAGGAGAAGAAAGATTTCTGTCTCCCTCCTTTATCCCCAGAAACTAAATGCCAAGGAAAACAAAAAGGTCTAAGATGTCTGAGCATTATTATCTGAGTTGTTACAGAAGCTTTTTAGCTGCTTTGCTGTATCTTCAAGAAAAAAAAAACTAAAAAAGAAAATCCCAAAAGCAGGCTGTGACAGGATCTGTAATCCTCCTTTACTGCTCTCATGATAATAAAACCAATCCTTAATCAAATAATTCCCCTTTTAACAAGCAGGTGTTGCTTTCCTTACAGATCATAGCTTTTGCCTCAGAAAAAGAAGGTGTTGGTTAATTAGATACCTTGAAATTGCAGTATGTGTTTCTTAAACACTGATTTTGTTTGAAAAATCTCAAAAAATTCTTTTCCACCATTTCCAAGATACAGCATATTGTATATTCCACAGCAGAATGCATTGTGATGATGACCATTAGCCCTCTGGTTTTAGCCTTTGGAAGGTAGCCAAGCAGAAAAACAGTGCCAGGTAATAGTGTGGGGGAAGAGCCTGTCTTCCTAAGTGAAAGTCTGGAGTCTGATGGATGAACACATGTGAACTGCATTACCATGTCTCTGCCAAAGCTGTTCAGATAACGAAAGCAGAATGATTCTTTGTTCAGAACGGGGCTCTTAGCATTTGAAATACTGGCAAATAATAAAGGGAGGAAGGGGGAATCTTTGTGTACATCACTGAGGTAAAGCTGAGTCCTATGGGATTTTACTGCAAGAGGCCTTCCTGTTGCTGCTGATAGCCATGTGGTGTATCTCTACATTGCTTTGAGGAGAAATCCTAAATGATAGCAAAATATACCCAATGTCTCAGTGCACACGAATCCCACAGCACATCTTGGTGCTGGCAGCAGAATCATCTTAGCACAGAGAGCCTTCCCAAGAGCTGAGAGGCACACTGGGCTTCCCTCACTTCAGGAAGGCAGTAATTGCTGGTCGAGCTTCTCTTTCACTTTGCTGTGGTTTGTTTCTCGGGAGTTTGCCAATGTGAGCATTTTGCTGCCAGACCTGAAGTAATCTCTTGTAAAATGGGGATCCCGGTGATTCTGTACCCAGACGTGGGGTCACACAGCGGGGATCCCGGACTGGGACTTTGAAGGAAGTGTTTTGGGAACAGTGAGTCAGATGGGTGGAGAGAGGAGAAAATTTTCTTCTCTCCAGCGGCCAAGAGCTGTTTCCAAGAGTGAGAGCTGGAGTCAGTCCAGGGAAGGAGAAGCGAGCAGCGCAGTGCGGGTGTGGGACTTCCTTATCGTTCTGTAATTCCTGACTGCCCAAGGACAGAACCAGCCTCTTCCTTCTTGTCAGATCCCAGCTTTTAGCTCTAAATCTACTCCTTACATGGAGCGACTCTGCTAGACGTGGGAGGGCAATGTGTGGTGTTTCTGAGCTGGAGCACAGGACAGGCACTCCTGCCAATAGCATGGCAGCAGCAGTGTTTGTGTCAGGCAGCTGCTGAAGGCAGGTAGCCCTGGGAGCAAGCTGGGCAGGCTGCACAGAGAAGGCTGCACAGAGAAGCTGCATAGAGAAGGCTGCAGCACTCTAGCAGGCAGGAGGTGAGCCAGAAGGATGCGGCTACTGCTTAGTAGTTAAATAAAACTGATGTGCAAGCACACTCAGGAGGTGCCAAACGTCCACCTATGGAGGAGTAGGCAGAGAAAACAGAATCTCATTGTGGCATCCCTAAGCTCCTGTCTTCCCCTGGCAGTCTTGCTCTAACTCTCATCTGTTCTGCACGTAGCTAGAAGGAGTTGGAAAGCTTTCCAGTGGAAATGCTCACAGAGCAGCCAGAGACAAATGCCAGGTACCCTGCTACTGCTGCGTGGGGGTCTGGGAGCGCTGCAGCTGCTCTCAGCATGTGCCTTTATTCACATCAGCTCACAAGGACACTTGAATTCAAGCGCCCACAGTTTCTACTTGCATTTGTGATGGATGAGGGCAAGGAGTGTAATTAGCCGTTCTCACAGTTGGAGCTGGTGAGAGCATCCCAACGTGAAGGATATTTCTGTGTGCATGGATGAAAAGCAGAATTAGGACGTGGAGGATGTTCTTAAAAATCTAAAATGACCTTTGAGCTCTAAATAACTGTAGCAGCTTTTGGCTGCCAGATTAGCTTCATTCCCTTCCTTAGCAAAGGGAGTGCCTGCAAACAGATTGCGGACAGCTGTTGGAAGTGTTTGTTTCACGGAGCTGCGCAGAGGGCAGGGGGGCTCTGTGCAGTGCAAGGCAGTAGGCACACCTGGCAACAGCAAGAGATCGGGCTTTCAGTTTGTGAGCTGAGAGCAGCTTGTTGTGGCATTTGTACAAAATAGGAGAAGGATTCTATTTTGGGGAATTGCGGGTCCCTGGGGATCTGCTGGGCTACAAGAGCCTTTGCCAGGCTTGAGCACAGCTCCAGATGTTGGAGGCTGGAGAGGGAAAGGAAGTCCTTGCAGAGCAGCATCCCCAGTGCTGAGGCGGAGGGGAGGAATGCCGTGGGCAGCCCCGCACAACAAGCACTGTGTGGGGCAGCACACAGGCTGCATTGCCAGGCCCTCACCTCTCCCACTCAGGGTCAGAAGAAGACCTTCCCTGCTTTCCGATGGAAAATACTGGACAAGTATTTCTGTCCCACTTGGGCTGGAAATCCTCCTTGCAAGGGATTTTCTCTGCTCAGAGCTGCGTCTTTGCTTCACCCTCACCAAAATGAGGGGGAGCAGCTGGTCCCAGTGGCTGTGGGGAGCCATAAGTTCCTAGGCTCCTTCCTGGCAGGGTGATGAATCACACTGGAGAAGAAAATAGGACTTTTCTTCACTTTTTGTCACAGATGGGGCTGTCTCTGCTGAAGTGATGCTCCCAGGGCTGTGCAGCCCCCTGCTACCCCAGCGCCCATCTCACAAGAGCTTCCCTGGCACGAGGATGCTGACCTCGCTCCTCTGTACCACCCAAGGCCATGTTTGTCACACCCACACCTCAGCCTGTCACTTGGATCAGTAATGCTTCCACCCAGGGCTCCTTCAGAGCAGCCCAGCTGCTCCCCAGCCCACAGCTACATGCCAGAAGCCCTCCTCCAGTCCAGCTCTGCCTCGTTCTGTTGGCAGCATCTGGACTTCTTTCTCCTCTCATTTGCTGGCTGGAGACCTTATCATCAGAGTTTGTTATAAATCCACTGGGTTTGGGAGCAGCTTTGGATAGTTATGCCAAAACTGAACCATATGTGTATTTATTCCTCAACATCGTGGTGATATAAGAAAAACCTCTTGCCCTTTGGCAAGCCTTGGAGCTGCAGCTTGGCCTAGGAACATCAGGAAGTGGGGCTGGGTGAGGACAGATGAACCAAGGACACAGAGCTGTGGGATGCTGGACATTCAGCATAGGGAAGTGAGTGCACTGACCACGGGTTAGCAGCCTGAGGGAAGCACAGGCCCTGTGGCTGGATGCTGCAGGCAACTCCCCGCTCTGCCAGGAGCAGGGAATGCAACTGAAGTGCTTCTGCTGAGATGTTCCTTCTGAACAAACCTGTACTAACATATGGCTCTTTTTCTGCACAGGGGAAGGGGCTGCAGTCTTACTGCGCTCTCTGGAGCCTCTCCAGGGTTTGGATGTGATGAGGGAGCTGCGCAGCACTTCAAGAAAAGGATCTGCAAAGCCACTGAAGGACTGGCAGCTGTGTAATGGGCCTTCCAAGCTCTGCCAAGCATTTGGGATTGATAAGGCTTTTGACCAAAGGGACCTGACTCAAGATGCAGCCATCTGGATGGTACCTGGACAGGAGCTGCCAGGGGAGCAGGACGTGGTAGCCACGACCAGGATTGGCATTGGGAACAGAGGGGAATGGTCACAGAAACCTCTCAGGTTTTATTTACGGGGAAACAAATTTGTGAGTGTTGTAGACAAGAAAATGGAACGAGAGATGGCAGCAATGGAACCCATCTCTTGCAGCTGATGAGTCTTGCAAGTGTGCCACCAATCAGGACTTGAGCTGTGCTCTTTAGGAGAGCCTCAAGCCATGTTGGGGCAGCAGCAAGGGCAGCTTGGAGGTTTTTAACAATAAACATACTTTATTGTAGCAAGGTGGAATTTTATTCATGGGGCAGACTGGAATGAATCTCCCAGCCAGAACTGAGGTTGGATTTGAGCACTGGGAGCCATTTTCTCTCTTGTGAATGGATCCAGGCTCTGGTAAGGTGGATGACTAGTGAAAGCTCACCGCTTTGACCTGCTGTGCTGCTCCCCTTTGTGCTGGCCCCCAGGAGAGGCCAGAACACTTGGTTTCTTCAGTAGAATGCCAGAAGAGTGGGTGGCAGTAGGGCTGAGAGAAACTATGAGAGCTGGATTTGATCAGTCTGGAGATGAGGAGGAGAAAGAACGATCCTGCTGCTGACTACAGCTGCCTAGTGGGAGGGTGCAGAGAAGGCAGAGCCAGAGTTTTGTCAGAGGTACACAGGGACAGGATGAGCTGTAATGGGCACAAGCTAGAAAACAGGAAATTCTCATTAGCTATATGGAAAACTGTTTCACCATGAGGGTGGTCAAATGCTGGAACTGGGAGCAATCAGACCTCCACCAGACAACTCCTGAATGACCTGATGTAACATTTTCTCTGAGCAGAATTTGGATAGAAGACCTCTAGAGATCCTGACCAACCTACACTATTCTATAAAATCCAGTGAGTTTTTCGCTTTGTTTATTTTTCCAGCTGCCTTTGAGACCAGTTCAAAGTTTACGAGTGTGGGAGCCTGAACACAGAGAAAGAACCAATGCTGAGATCTCTGCCTCACAGTTCTTTCTGCAGAGCTGCAGCCTGCCATGAAGTACAGAGGGAGGGAAATAATAGGATTCAGGGGAGAATCCATAGAATTGCAGCCATGCTGGCAGTTTGCCTTGCACATGTGGCACCAAGCCCTGCAACTAGGCCAAACAGTTGCTTGGATCTCAAGTTAGCTGCACACTTTTCCACAGACAGGTGCTCCCTGCCTTACCTGTGCTGTGTGCTATGCTGCACCAAGCCACATCTTGCAGAAATAATCCACTGCCAGCCTGGTGGTACCCTGTGCTGTGCCCCAAGCAGCCCCTGGACAAGCTCTGTCTTTTCACAGCTGGGTGACAGCCAGCAGGCAGCTGTCCTGCCCATTCCAGACAGGGATTTCTCTCCTCATTTGGGATTCTTGTGCAAGAAAAAGCTCAAGTTTTCAAACCCCTTGACCCACCCCTTCTGAACAGATCTTGCCATGTCCAGGTCATTAACTCACCTTCAGATTCAACTGGTGGGGACTGGGTGGGCCGCTGTTGTGCTGATTTCAGCTCAGGCATCACTTTTGTTCTTCTGTAACATCCCTGCTTGCAGCTGCAGGGAAGGCTCTCAGAAGGGACTGTGCTGAAGTAGCTGCCATCAGGTATCCAGTGCGCTGCAGGCCCTGTGCTGTTCCTTGCTGGCTGCAGGTAAGTTGCACAATGCTCACGTTTTTACCCCAAGTTGTGTGGGCAAGTGAAGCCCCTCTCACAGTCCTGCAGCTCTGGGAAAAAGCTCCAGCTTGCATGTGTGTGGAATAAGGGAAAGTCTGAATGAGGAACCTGACTGTTTTCACACACCACACACCCCTGAAAGCTACCACCATGGAAGCAAAAATCTCCCCACCCTCCTTGGGTACAGAGCTGTGCAGACACTTTGGGCTTTTGCTTGGTCTTTCCTTCCTGAGCAGAGCAGCAATTGCCAGTGCAGCTGCTTTGGCTAGGCAGCCCAGCCCTGTTGCACCATCATAGCTGGCTTAAGTTCATGATGCAGCCAAAAAGAGTGGCAGCTGTCCACGCTGCTGCCTCTTGTTGTAGCTGAATGAGGATTGCTGGACCAGATCATGAAGCAGAGCCATGTACATCCCTGTACATTGTTTTTCATCTGGACAGCTTTAGTGCTGGCCAGCTCCCTAATCTGCTTCCCTGCAACCATAGTGGGACAGACCAACAAAGCAGGCCCTAGAGGGGCAAGCGTGACTGCCATTAGTCTGCAGCTTTGGGGAACTGATACAACACTGCACCTGCAGCACAGCCAGCCAGCTTCAGTCCTCCTCAGAGCCAACCAAATTCCTCCCACCACAATTTGAAACAGACCTGCAAATCAGCTAACAAATGGGCTGCCCAGTGACAGCAGTGCCCCCACAGACACTCTGTAAAAAGGGTCCTGGGGAGAGGAAAGCTGTAACAAAGCGAGCAAATCGTTTTCGTTCACAAAACTGTTTACTTGTGATACTTTGCATTCCTATTTATGTCCCCACTGCTTCCAGAGAACAGTGGTCAGACAGAATTAATTCCTCAGTACCCAGGATCATTCCCCTAAAAGCCAGGCCAACTTCACTCTGTCCTTAAGCAGAGGACAAGCAGTGAGGACAGGCTGCTCATGAGCAGTGCCCACTGCTAAGTGGTGGTGGAGAACAGGGAAAGACCTCTGGTGCAAAGCATCCACCCACACGTCAGTAACACTCCAGTAAAAGTCATGGACCACTCTCACCTATCTCAATGAAGGAGCAGTGCCAGGGAAGGTCTGCGAGACAGCAGCTCCTGTGCTGTGAGCGTGGCATGGCACAAATCAGGCTGCCCTGCAGTAGGCACACAGCCCCTCACACAGAACTGAGCTGTCGCATAGGGAGGTGTGAAATGGAGGCACGGCAGCAGAGAGCCTGCTGTATGCCGTGTGCTGAGAAGGAACTGGATTTCTCTCTTTTAGGCATCTTGTAGAATATCAAGAGCGTGGCAGGTTTCCACTAGCAGTCATTTCAAGAGGGACTGAAAAACTGAAATGACTGGGTCCTCGTGGCTGGTCACCACCAGCACGCTGCGGAACTTGTCGAACAGCATCAGCAGCTGCGAGCGCCGCATGTTCTCGTTGTACATGATCTCCTCCAAGTGGTGTCGGCCTCTGAAGTAGTGAAGCAACCTGCAGAAAGGAGAGCAAGGAAGGCGTGGGCCAAAAGCAAATGCATGCAGCAAGAACTGGTACTGTCACCCTCCTGTTCCTCTCCAATTGGACAAAAATGTGGAGACGTTCGGGTTGTGTCCTTCATTTATGTGCAAAGTGAAATGAATGAAATCTGCTCTTAGCTCAGGCATGCCTTGCACACAGAATTCCCCTGGAAAAGCAGCACGGGGACCATTACCCACCAAATTCTCATCTCCTGAAGTACCCAATTCCTATCACACTCACTTGGCTTCACAGCAGCTCTCTGGATGGATGCCCTGCTCCCAGACTGGCCTGATTGGTAACAAGAAAACACAGCCCTAGGGTCTTGCAAAGGTACCACAAGGTCTCTTAGCCTGGTGCATTTCCTGAGATTGTCAATAATTCTAAAAGCAAGAGTTAAAACCAAGAGGATATTTTCGCCCACAGCAGTCCATTACATGGTTGGTACTGGCAGGTAAGCACTGAGGTTGATGAGTCTGGGGGTGGGGGGAGAGGCTGCAGCAGGGAGATGGAGATTTTAGGCACAGGCGCCTCACAGACGTTCTGGGAGTAACAAAGTCCCAAAAGAAACCCTAAACAGTGACTCTAAGCCCAAGCCATGATAACTACTGAAATCCCCCAGTCCTTTCTGTCAGTACAGCCGTCCCCTTGGTGGGCACCAACCTGTCACACAGACACCAGAAGCCTCAGCCCTTCCTCTCCTATTTTGTATCACTGCTCAATGAGTGACTTTAAAGGAGATTTTAAAAGCACTGTGCTCTCTCTGCTCTACAAAGCTGCTCAGGTGACTGTGCCCTGGCACAACCATCTGTGCAAACGATCACGACCTGGCTTTCAGCAGTCACACAGACCACGGGGGAGTTTTCCAATAAGTACATCCACCCTACATTCAGAAAGAGTCTGGATTTGTAGCGAGTGAAGATGAAATAGTTTCCATTCCAATAAAAGCTAGAGAGGATGTTAACACAAAAATGTTGTTGGAAGACAACCCAGAGCCCAGCCCAGGCTCCTGCTCCAGCCGGACTGCTGCCAGCACTGGACAACTTCTTCAGCCTTTTTTTTCACCTTGTTGGGCAGTGAATATTTATGGGACCCAAACGAGTCCCAAAATGGCAGTTTTTAGGGCAGCAATTTCTTTTGGGTCCTTCTGAAGCTGCACAAATACATCTGCTCACAGATGGGTGCCTCCAGATTCAGATGCAGTGATGGAAGATTATTCCTTTCCATTGCTCAGCACTGTTCTTCCCTCTCTGACTTACAAGAGCTGCTCTGCGATCAGCAGTGTGGTGGTACAGCAGTTCCCTAAACTACTTCACATTAAAAAAAGAAACCAACAAAAGCAACTATATCATCTTAGTCATTCAAATAAAATTAGCTTGTCTGGCCAAGGAGATATCCCTTCCACCAGCACTGCTTGAAGATGGAGACAACTGTCCACAGCTTGATGTCACCTCTGAACATTCCTCCATGGAGTAAAGGACCCCTGTTTCTCAAGCTAAGAGCAATAAAGAAAATCCTCAGAGTGGCTCTATGCCCATGGCTTGGGAGAGAAGCCATGAGTGGGGCCTCAACCTGTCTACAAAAGCACTGGTTGACGTGCAGTGAGGAACACTTTGTGCACGTAACTGAAGATCTGGTTCAAAAGCAATTTGTGGCTTTCTCAAGTTGATTCTGGAAGGACGTGCCCCCATCTTCCAGCAGCAGCTATAGAAACAACTTGGCTTTGAATCCTGGTTCAATGCTGTGAGGGTTAATGCAGCCAATGCTGGAGCCAAGCTCCCATATTCCTCTTTTCCCCCTTAAGGTTTCTGCTTGCAAACACTGTGCATAGCAGTGGACAGACACAAGTCCCTTCTGTGCCATCTGTTTAATGAATACCAAGAGTTCAGAGGCACAGGCACGCAAAAATGTATCAGGCTGAACTTTACTGCCATGCTGAAAATAGACCATCCCTTTGTGCACACAAAACTATACTTGGAAGGTCAGTTACAGTATATTTAGTGCACTAACTATGCATTTATAGCAGGAATTTGTTCTGGGAGGCAGCTGATCCAGCACAGCTATTTGCCATAGCACAGCCCTCATTAGGTGCTGCTTCTGAAGACGAAGCAGAAAGCAGAGCTGATGCAGTAACCTTTGCTGGGGTAATGAGGAGGATCAGCTCATTCACTGCAGCAGCTTCTCTGCAATTATTTACACTCTCATTAAGAGCCACAGGTTTACCCAGACACTCACTTCAGATGGTTCACAGCACAACACAAGAGAAAGTACATACAGAACCATCAAGTTACACTGCCTCATAAAGTCACAAGTAACCAGAGCATCTTGCATTAGCATTTCTATTTTTACACTCCAGCATCCTACCCGCAGGGCTGCTTTGTTTATTCCACCTTCTCTCTTCCTCACTGTTGACTTAAGAGTAAGTTACAGTCCTCAGTTCAATCTACAGTGGAATGGAAATTCAGACTGCAGATGCCTAGGATGGCTCTGCTAAAGAACCTGGTGCATGGGCAATCTGCAAAGCAAACATCATTATGGCAGCTGCTTGCTTACTGAGCCAATTTGCTGAAGAAACTGAAGTCATTTTTGGCATCTGCAATTCAAAAGCTTTCACACTGCTGTTTCACCCAGATGAAGAGGTGACAGGGAAGCAATCATGAGATCCTTTCCTCTCTCCAGGATAATTAACAATCTGCGTTGCCATTAAACCAGCCTGGTGTCCCCACAGAGTTTATTTAAAATAGCACCGGTTATGATTTTGTTTTTCCTTCTTCTTCACAGGTTTTGTAACCACTTCTCCGGTAATGAAGAACAAACATTTCAAAGTTCTCAAGTGGTCCAAGTGTTGCCACTCAAGCAGAGAATATCCTGTGAATAGTTTACAGAAGGTGGAGGAGATGCCTACCCAGCAGCACCGCAGAGCTCTGCACAAATACCTGAACTGAGCTGCAAACCAGGAGGAGCAGAGCAGGCTGCAGGGGATGTCCTGCATTTGTAAAGATCAGGAAAAGCTGCAGATCTCAGCCCTGGTTGTTTTCTGCTCTATGAGTATGCCAGCCAGTGAAAGCGGCGTTCCAGTGATGCCACTGTGTTTTGAAATGCTTAGGAAAGAAGAGATTCCCTCTCCTCTTTCCCAGCTGTTAGGAAGTCATTCTGCTTTTCACAACGTGCAGAGCCATATCTCGCTTATTTTAAGTAGAGCTGAAATTTGTTGCTGCACAATATGACTTTAACCTACAGAGCTAACTAACCTACTCACACGAGCAGCTCATCTCAGCTAAACAGGCCTGGAAGTCTTTGCAGGCCGTTCTGTGGAAGGGTTCAGGCTGACTTACCTCTGATGCTTTTTTCCTTTGTCTCCTAGTTGTATGTAGTTTACAAACCTTAAAATAAATAACAGCTGTCTTGGAAATACTAACAGACACCAGCACCAACACGACTAGGTCTTTGCTTTGGATGCTTAGAATTATGTTCTCAAGCAAGGCAGTTATGTCCCCCATTTGTGAACACAGCAAAACTGGAAGGCAAAAAGTGAAGGCCCTGTTGTCTGACCATATGTCCTGATGCTCCTTCACCATCCAGAACACTGTTAACAGTGTTAAGTCACTGTTCTTGTGACATATAAATTAGTTTTTGTTCAAAAGTTCTGTGTCCATATGAAATAGGTACATGAAACAAAATCAAAACGATTTATCTTCCTAAATCCCAAGCTAATGGTATTTGATAAGAGCCCACATCTATCTGTCCATAAAACAGCAAGGATAGGGAAAAAAGGTCACACTCTGCACTCCTGATTTCCTACCTTGCAAACATGCGAAGATCTTCTGGATTTTGGGCAGCAGGGACATTGAGGATAGCTTCCCGCTCGTGTTCCAACAAGCTTGCCAGGAGATTCTCTGTCATCCTTTTATTCAGGGGTGAGTCCCCACCAGGTATCAACTCAGCACTGGAATTATCCATGCTGGGACTTGTCAGAGTCATGTCATCACTGCTAGCTATCAGGGGAAGAGAAGAGACACAGAATTTCTATGTTGCTCAGCATAATGAAGTAAAGATTATCATTTCAGGCAATATCTGTGCAGTCTTTCCAAACAGTCCCCTCAGATTTGTAGAACAAAGGAAGTGGGTCTGGAAACGCTACGTGTAACTGCAATTTGTGATATGACAATGTAGAGATTTTCTCAATGGGAAAATAAAGTGTTTCAACAACACCATCAATTTATGTGGAAAACTCTACTTCTGGAGACTATAAACAGTCCATAAAATATTTGAAGAGAAAATTCCCAGCCAGCTCTGCTGGAACACCATGAAGTGGTAACACAAAAAGCCTAACAACACAGAAGATAGAAGCATGCAGAAAGCAAGGCCAAGAAGCAATATCCTCTTGTGAGTGAGCCAAAACAAGCAGATCGCAGACTTATCAGACTCATGTTCCAAGAGTTCTGCCCTAATTCACGAGCTCTGTAAAGCTGCAGGTTGCACAGAGAATCTCTCCCACTATCCAACCTCAGTGTTGTTTGGCATTCTGAGAACACTGCTCATAACAGCGTAACACAACCACATCCTGGGGTTTCAGCACTGTATCTCATATGCCCTCTTGAAAATATGCTTTCCTGGAATCACCCTGATGAACGGCACTGAGGAGATTAAAGAGCCCAGGGAAAGAGAAATCAGCCATTTGTGAGACTTACAGCCCTGCACTTCCTTAGGGCAGCTCTGCGGCCCACAGAAACAAATACTGCTTATAGCACATTCTCACAATGCTATTCCTCTCCTGCTAACCAGAATCCATCCAGCAACAGCAGTGCAGGCAGAGGACCACTGCTGTTACTCTTTAGTTACTGCAAGGAAGTAGGAAGTTCCCTGGCAGAAACACACTGAAGTGCCTCCAATACATACTAAAATTTTTGACATGACCAAATGAGATCTTAGCAAATTACAAAGAACTACTTGAAGCACTTAAGACGTCCACCAATGCCCAGCCCTACGTTGAAGAGGGGCTGGTATTCGTTAGCAAGCACCCCAGTATCAACAAGTTATCTTACTGCTAAGACCTGTCACCCTCGGCACTGCTAAAAGGAGGGCTAGAAGTGGGCTGCAGTATGAAGAGCAGAGCAAAGTTGGCTCATACTTGGAGAACCAAAGCTAAGAGCATTGGGGGTGCTTAAACTTCGGCCTCCAACTCTGGCGGTGAAGGGCATGTCTTCATCCTGGGCACGGAACTCCTCTTCATTTGGGGGCACCATCAGACAGACGTAGGTGTGGAGCTGAATGAGGAGTCGGTGTTGGAGCATCCATATCACCATTTGAATGAGCTGAGTCTGCAGAGTGAGAAATGAGGTATTAAGCACTGTGAGAGAAAAAGCAATGCTCAAAGCCTAAGAACTCACAAGGAGAAATGCTTTCCAAGACTCAGAACAGTTTCACATCTTTTCTGAACCGTTAGTTTGCACTTCCCATCACAAGAAAGTGACCAAGCACACAATGTCCATCACACCACAGCCTTCATGGATGCTTTGCCTGTAATCAGACCTCTAATGACCAACACATCTTTATGCAGCACTAACCAGCTCAGCCAGCATCCTCACACCAACCAACCTTGCAGCCAAGAAGAGCTTCAGCACCCACTGTGTTTCAGCAGAGCCCCCAAGTTCCCTCAGCACATGATGCCAGCCATATGAACACAGCCACACTTCACACTGCAGCCATACAAACCCACACGGAGGTGTTCGGTCCCCTTCCAACAAAACAGTTCAGAGGGTGCTAAATAAGGGATAATCGTCTTTTCCAGAGATGGAAGAGATAAGAAATGAATCACCCAGGTGCACATCTCAATGGCCAGGACGCTGGGATCAGTTTGGGGCCTCACGACAGTCAGAAATCCCCACAGGGTTAACCCAGAGCAGTCACATTAAAGCCCAGGTTCTCCCAGGAAGTCAGGGAGAAGGCAGGGAGACAGGACAGGGTCAGTGTACTGTCACCCATTTGCTCACCACCTCTCTGCCATATGAGGACAGGCCAAAGGCACCTCGCTTTCCATGGTATGGATGGGCAAAACTGACAGTGCCAAGAGATGAGACTCGTGTTAAACCAACATGCAGAACACCTCTGTAGTGCTGAACAACTCCACAGCGCCCCAAAAGTGATGCTGAAAGCACAGGGCGGGATGAGGGAGAGGCATCTGTAGGTTCTTGGCATAGCCTCTCTTCAGGAGTTTCAGAGGAGCATTCAAAAGCCATCATCGTGTCTGAATTTCTGCACAAAAAGCCTTTTCATTTCAGTAGAGACAACCCTTCCCGTAGCTAACAGCTCTGAAAACACTGAATCACTGACAAAAGCTGTTTGGGGATTTCATAGCAACCAGTGCTGTTTTGGTGAGAGACACGCAGAATGAGCTCAGAGAAGGAAGCTATAGCTCCACTGCATTAATCATCAGGAGAACGGCCAAATCTCAATAAAAGCCCCAAACTGAAGTTCATCAGCCCACATCATTTTCCTTTTTCCATAAGTCATTTAGTTTTCAATTCCTCCTTTGCTATCGAATCACAAAAGAAACACCTCCTGCCTGCAGATAAGCCCACGCCCCCTTTCTAGGAATTACTACTTTTTGAGGCTGAACGGATTTTAATCTTAAAACATATGATCTGGGATCACCTTCAAACACTTCTTTTCCAGAAAAGGTATAATTCATTTTCTACATTTAAAAGAAAACGTACAGAAGAGGAAAGTTGGCACGAGATAACAAGGATGGCTGCATATCGTTCTGCTAACATCTGAAATCAGCCTGGAGGAAAGACGAGGCCGACTGCTCGAAACCTTCCAGATGCAGCAAAAGATGTCCCATATGTTTCATGTAAATTTCTGACCTGCTGGCATGCAGTGGCATCCCACCAGCTGGTGTCACAACAAATCAAAAGGGGTCTGACACTTCATGGGACAAATCGCAGCAATTCAAGGAGACAGCTTTGCTACTACAGTCTGCTGCCTGTTCTTCTGGACACAAACACAGAATTTACAACCATTCTCCATCTGCTTCTCTTGAGCTTTGATGGACCTCTCAGACAGGTGTGTAGGAGGGCAGGTTTCCCCATATCACCTGCATTGCTGTCTGTTGGTTTATCTCCACGCTTGGGCTCAGCCCATTCGACTTGCTGGTCTCTTTCCTGAAGCCCAAAAGAGCTGAGATTAACTTTGTAGGGCAGGTCATGCTCCACCCCACAACTTTCCCTCTGAGACATCAGCACTGTAGGAAGCCACAGCCCTATGAGGCCAAAATGGAAATACAAAAGGAGACTGATTTCATTGTTTAATTCAACACTCAACACTCAATTTCATCCACGCCCCTCTCTCTCCCCATGCTGCCTGTCTCCAGTATGGGCAGAGGGGTTCCCATCTGCCACCAATGGGACCATTCCCACTGGCACGGATCAGCCATCCCATTTCTCATCCCCACAGTGGCACAGCAGCACATGTTGTCATGCATGACACGACGCAGGGCACTGCCAACAATACACTGCTTTGTGCTTACTGACCAAAGCAGAGAAGATGGGCACTCTTATGTCAGCCCATCTGGGCAGGGAGAGCTGCAGGTCCTGAAGGGGCAGGATCCAGCACTCGTTGTTTTTGTCCCTCTGGGAGTCAAGGGGAGCTTTTGTAAAACTGTTCAGTATGTGTTAAATAAAATGCATTTCTTACAAAGATTTTTTAAAGCTGTTTCTTTCCCACGTCTAAAAAGCTAAATGTGCAGAAAACAGGAACTGGATCCAGGCTGGATGTGGCTCTGGGCAGCCTGGTCTGGAGGCTGGCGACCCTGCACACAGCAGGGGTTGAAACAAGATGATCATTGTGGTCCTTTTCAACCCGGGCCATTCTGTGATTCTATAATTCTATGACTGGCAACGTGTTCAGGAAAGGGAGGAGAGAACAGCATTATGGAATCACTCAGATCTCAGCCTGGTGTTTCTCTCTGCATAAAGATTTACTCTTAGTTACAACATGGCTCACTTTGCCTGCTGAAGGACACGAGAGCCTCTTCTCCAGCTGAGCAGTTGATGTGACACACACTGTCCACAGTCTGACTTGAGAACAGCACTGCTTTGGGTCAGTAACACAGCACCTGCATTGGGGTACATGCTGAAACACAGTAAGCTCCTTTATCATTCAAAATACTCCATTTTACCAAAAACTAAAGCTATTAAAAGTTCTCCCTGTTTTGCATAGACAACCCCTATTCATGCAGAATATTATTGTGTAACATTGTCATGTTAATCATTATGTGACAGCTCTGAATTCCACCAAATCAGCTTAACTCTCCTCTCTATTTAGATGTAGAACATCCTATTTTTTAACTTGCCACGTGAGAAACCCTGGTTTTATACACAACCCTGAATCTTACTTCCATACTTCTGCCACCAAAAGCTCCTATGACTCTTAACACCTTCCAGACATCCACTCAGCATTTGCATGCAGCTCTCCTCCCATCCCATCCTCTGACACACACTATTTTCCACCGTGCTGCTACACAAAGCACAGGAAGTCTTCCATCTACAGCAAAGGCCTCATCTGCTGCAGCCTTACTCCAGCACTGCGGCCAGACTTATGAAATCAAAGTTGAAAAAGCATTTGCTTTGTGTTCACTGGCAGCTGTTGTACTTCCCCACCTGTTTTTTGGCCACAGTTACCCCAGCCCCATGAAGGAAGAGTTAGTTACTGCAATAAGCACATGCACTGTGACTGAGCTCCTGCAGCAAAGGGGATGCAGGGACAAAATGGGAAGTCGAATTCACACGAGTACACTCCTACCTGAGGGGTGGAAAGATCCCCTCTGCATCTAATGCTACAGCACCAGCTGTTGTGCTTCTGAGTGCTTGCACAATCACACACACTCTCCACAGTTCACTTCAGCAATGCTCCTTGGATGGTGGTGACACCTGTATATTTAAGCAGTGCATTTAAGCTGCACTCTGAAGTGCATACAGTGACATGACCACTGCTGCTCTGCCACACTCTGCAAGAATATTCTCCAAAAAGGCACAGGGCCAGGCTGCCATGGAGGCTGTTCTCTACACACAGGCACACGTGTTGTTCATAAAAACTGAACCATTTATTCTGTATGCAGTCTGTCCACGCAGTGCCTCCTTATCACCCACCTCTTTTGAGGAAGAGCATCTACAAACGTACAGCCTGATTTAGACTATATTCAGATCCATTTTTGAAAAGGGAATTTGAATTATACCTTCAGTGAAATCTGTAGTCTTAGATAAGCTGAAAATGGACCTAAGCTCAAAGCTCAGAGCTCCCTGATTCTTTTAACTCATGCTGCTATAATGATAAAAGTAATCATAGCTTATCAGCAAGGAAGGCAAAAGAAGCTGGTAATTCTACAAGCAATCCTGTGCAAATTGGAGGGCCAGATTCTCAGCAGCAAAATTTGTCATAGTCTTTAGAAATCACTTTGTTCTAAGGCAGGAGAAAACAGAGTAAGGCCAGAGAAAACAGGAAGGTGAGTGCCAGAAGTTTTCAGATGAAATACTAACCTGCTTGCTGAGACCCTTTGCTTCTGTTTGTAACCTCAAACCTTCCTGATCAAGACAGTGGCAGGTCCAGGCAGCAAGTACTGCCCACAAACCACACAGATGTGCAGCCAAATTCTTCCCAATGACAAGAATACATGATACCAGTGCTGTTCTAGCTACAAATGCAAAGCATAGCACTATATGGACTGCTGTGAGGAAAGCTAACTCCAACCCAGCCAGACCTGGAACACCATTCCAGCAAAAACACCAGATTTGTTCCCAACCACAGAGCTCCATTCTGGTCTGCTGTGCAATCACCAATGCTGTGCCACACAAGGGAGAGGAGAGGCTGGGACAAGAGCCCAGAGTCATGGGCAGGAGAAGAAAGACAGCCTTCTTGGGATCAGGATAGAGGAGATGCAAATTGCTTTTATTCCAGTAAAAAGCACTACAAGGGAATGTGAGTTTCCCCTGCCACATCAGCTCACGAGATCCAGTACCAGCAGTATGAGATGCATGGGCTGCTGGTCAGGACACAGGCCCAGGTGGGGTGCTTGCTGGAAGTCCATGTAACACTTCTCAGTGCTGCTAAGAGACAACTCACCACTGTGAAAAAAAGAGAAGTCACATCTGCTTTCCTCACACATCCCCAGCTGCAGAAATGTCTCTGTCATTCAGCACCAGCCCTGGAGCTGCTGATCCTCCCCTGAGCAAATTCCACCTGCTAACATGGCAAAGAAGTAGCGTGGCTGAAATGAGTTCCATGAATAGAATCGAGCTGGACAGGAGCCAGAGCTCCAGCACAAAGGGAAGAGGGAAAGAAGGAAGGCGTGTGCACATATTGAGTGGAAAGGGAAAAGAGGGGCCCCTCCCTCTCTCAGCAGCACCAAGGTTTCACTAGAGCAGCTGAGCTGCACTCACAGGCTCAGTGCAATATTGCTATCCAAGCAGGGCAGATGTAACAGAGAAAAAGGGAAGCTACCTTAGAGATCTCTACTCAAAGACCAACAACTTCGCAAATATGAGCACAAGACCACAGATGACAGACATAAAACCACTGCAGAGCTCAGCTGCAATGTACAGCTTGTCATCCCAGGCAAGAAAAGAGATCAAGAAGACTGGCTCCAGGAAAGCTACTGTCTCGTGCACAGGACGTGGCTGAGAGCACAGGCAATGCTGATGGAGACCACTGCCTGGACACCTCCCCTACCTGACAGACAGATGCTCATCCAGAAGGGCATGCCAGAAGGAAGGAAGCCAATCCCATGCTAAAGACAACAATCTAATGGGATGGGTGCCATGAGACCTCAACAGCTTCTATAGACAATCCAGCCCTTCCCACTGCACTGACCTTCAGAACTACAGGCAGCAGTCAGCACGATGAATGGCAGAAGATATGGCCACCAGTTAAATTCTTCAAAGCTTTTTAAGAAAAAGGACAAAAGAAAAAAAACATCCACTCCTATGTACAGAGAGTAAAATTACAGTGAAAGATCCAAACTTCGTTCATTTTTTCAAAGGCAAAGCAAACATAATTTGACAGTATTTACAGTTCAGAGTGCAGAGTGCATTTTATTGCTGCAGAAAAAAAAAAAAAACAAAAAATAAAACACCCACATTTCATCAGATTAATCACTCTATCAACTAGATCTCTGTTAATTATAGTTAACTACAATTGGAGCCTGACCACTCCTGCACAGGGATTAGATTCATCTCATAATAAAACAATACTGCACAGGTAAATCAAAGCAGAGGAAAGTACTTTTTCTACATGAATGTGTGGTACAAAACCATCTAAAAGCTCTTTCCAGACCATATTCCTCCAAGAGCCAGCATGCTTGCCTTCATGGGAAAGAAACTAACCACATCTCACAGCAGCCCAAGGCACCTGATGGTCTCCATACCTTGCCACAGCAGTCCCAAGTGTTCTGCAAGCACAGAGACTCACCTCCCATTTTCTCAGCACCATCCTCATCCTCAGTGTGTGGACTCACACCACAGGGCTGAGGAAAAGCTCTCGTGCTGTTGACCTTTAGAGCCCCATCATGCAGGTGAGCACCAAACTGAAGACACACACTCCAAAAGAGCCATTTCAGCACTCCAGCAGCTCTGGCAAACATAGGCACACGCTGCTGTTTCAGGGCTTTCCCCATGGCTGCAGCAGTATGTGGCAGACATTCGTTATGTGTTTTAAACAAAGACATCTGAGAACAACCAGAAGTGTCAATGGAGAAATACTAAAACAAGTCATTAATCTTAAATGGGCTACTGAGAGTAAGAATGCCTCCCAAACCTACTGCAGCTACAACAGAATTAATGCTTCCATTTTCCAGACACAGATTTGTCTGTAATATAGCAAAATGCTGCCAGAACAGCAGGCACTGCTCTCCCCCACCTCCAAAGATGGCAGCTGACCAGTACATACTACTGGGATTAGAAGCTTCATAAATAATTATCTCTGATCATAATCTCTGCCAGCCTGTAATTACAACAAATTCTTCTCTCGTAATTGTGTCTGTGTGCTTAATTGATGTTAATCTTCTAGGTGTTTGAATTGTGACTAATTTCATATAAACACAGCAAGTCATCAAAGCACAAAGGCTAGCAGAATTTGGAGGCACCCCAACGAAATCAGCCCAGGTTCCCTTTGCCACAGTAAGCTGTGCTCAGGGGGCTCATCTTCTTCACCTGGGAACGTAGCAGTGTCAGAAGGTGTTATGTTTGTTACGTTCCTGAGCCCTTTCTTACATCTCACTGGTTCCCAGAAAGGCTGCAAACCATGATCTATGAGCTTCTGCCCTACTAATGCTGGCAGACTACACCAGTCCCTACTGCATCACTCAAAGAAAAGAAGAATTCTGATTTTTCTTTCAGGAATGTGCTTTCCTAACACAGATCATCCACACAGCTTCACCTTGACAGTCCCCACAGCCTTTTGGTACGTGGATATGAAACAACAAATTATGTTTGGAAATGTATTAAGAGGCAAATTCTACAACAGCAAGTTCCTAACCAGAAGCAAACCCAGTCCTCGTTGGCAAGGCAGTGACCCAGTGCCCAAACAGCTCCTGCACTCTCCCCCATCTCACCTCCTGCACGGGTGGCACGAGAGGGTTCTTGAACTCTGAGAGTGACACTGGGAGGGAGAACTTGGAGAGCATTGATGGCAGATTGTGGCCCCGGAACTGACAGGAAAATGCATCTGCCAGTGGAGAGTAACTGCAAAAGAGAGGGAGAGCAGAAATCAGGTAGTTTGATATTGCTGGTCAGTGTAATATTTATCCACTTAAGCATTACAGAAGTGGGAATTCCTAAATGAAACATCTAGAAACACATTAAGGGTAATTTATGGCATGTTGCTTCTTGCTTTACACTTGCAGTGTACGTATTTTCATCCTGGCACTGCATTCAGCTTCACTGTATTATTCAAGGTGTTGAGAAAATCCAAAAGAGACAAATAAAAATGACAAAATTGTAAACCTGGGCTGTCTGTGATCAAAGAGCCAGGACTGTATGGCTGAGAGACTACAAGAGTGGGGATGGGCAGCATGTAGGCACATCTTCAAATACACAACATGCAGCTGCAGATGGGACTGCTCTCCCTGCCTGAGCAGAAGAAGAAAAGCAGTACAGATGATTACAAGTGTGGGAGAGGCAAGTTAAATATTAGGAAAACTGTCTTCAAGAACAGCACTAACATATATGACAGGCACAGCTGCTCCTGAATGACCTCCAGGTCAGTTTCAGACCTATTTTTATACCTCCACCCCATAAGTTTTGACCTAACATTATTTTCCTACAGCAGAGTTCCAACACAAATTCTATAAACATCTCAATATCCAACAGCAAAAGGGCTGTCAGTCTTCAGCAAAGTACAAGTACCCACTGCAGCTTCCACACCTTCTCTGGCATTGCCACTGCCTTTTCTCAACCTAACTGTATTACATTTTGCCTACTAAAAAGCATAGAAGTATAAAATGTCATCACGTGAAACAATGCAATAGTGATGGCAACACTACCCTGACTGATTTGATACACTTCAGGCAATGTCATGTGCCAGATACTCAAATGTCCTGTGAAATATTCACTGATTTAACTGAATCAAGCTCTCTAAGTCTTTCCCTATCACTTCAGGTTCGTATTACCTCTTCTGAAATGGACATTCAATGATAAACAATCCCAGAATTACAGTGTAAATATTGTTTCCAAGTCCACGTTGCTGCAGAAGCATATTGACCTGCTCTGATGCTGCTCCCTGCACCAAACTCTGACATGGCTTTGTAATTTCAAGCACATGGAACGGTTTGTGCTCTGCACAGCTGCAACAAATTGGTACACAAAGAGATGTCCCATGCTGCATCCAGTAAGACAGGGAAGGAAAGGGTCTCTGCTCTTCTCACTGCTTTCTTAATACAACCATTCATCCTCCTTCTACTTACAGGCAGACACTGGCATTTGGTGAAAGCATGTAGACATTGTTCTCACACAGCGGATAAATAATAATTGCTTTTCCCCAGTAAACAAGATGTGCAGCAAGCTGGAAAACCTGCATCGAGGAAACATGGAAAAATTAGGAGAGCAAAAAAGCAAAATTCAGATCCTTGGCAGCAGTTACATACAGTGACAGAAAAATCACATCAGATGACTGCAAGTCTTGCTGGAATTGAAATGAAAGCGAAACATTCCGTCCTCTCACACTGCCTTCAGAGAGTGTTTGGGCTTTAATATAACACACAGCACTTCAAGAAGCATTTGACAAGGTTATTAATTTCCAGAGGTTTGCATCACATTTCTAAGGAACTTAGTATTTCCTGGTTTTAAGGAATTCCTTCAAACTGTATTAACAGACGTTTAGTTGCATTTTATGCACCAACAACCTATTTTTGTTTATGCACAAAATGCACTTCAGTTTGTGCGTGAAAAAGAAAGTGAATTGGCCTCCACCATGGCACAAACATAAAGGAAACAAAACGGTCTTTTTAATGCTTGGAGATATTTCAGTAATGAGTTACACAAAGCATTTTAATATGTTTTAAAAGGTCAGTGGTTGTTACAGGCTCTGGAAGAGCCACATAAGTAGCATCTAGGAGACGTAAAATCCAGCCCGTATCATTAGATGTATTTAACTTTGCTTTTTTGTGGAGAACAGAACCGCAGACGAGCAGGGAATTTCCAAAGTTCATCCCACAGCTGTAGAATGCCAAGTAACACCACAACCACTGTAAGCAGACCTGCACATCTTATTACAAAATAGGACAAGAGAGGGCCTGGACTCGAGACCTGAAGCACCTGAGATAATAAGCCATACTCTCCTTTGTCACACTGAGCACAAGAACATCCCTGGGTCTGAACCAGTCCTTAGCAAGGCTGAATAGCTCTCCCCACTGCAGTACCCAACACAAGCACCAGGCCTGACAAGCAAAGGGCCACAGTAACTGTGCTGCTCCAGTGCTAAGTGGCCAAGTGACCTTACACATGTTTAAGGCAGCCAGCAGGTAAGAAGCTGCATTTTGGCTATCTTCTGCCCTTGGGCAAGAGAATCACAGAGATGCACTTTGGCCAAGCAGGTCCTGCACTGTTTGGCCACGGCAGCTGTAAGCACTTTGGATGCCTTCATTTGCACATAGACATCAGCATGTTAGAGTCATGACAGATCACTGTGGCATAAGAAAGCAGTGCTATTTGTTCCAGGTTTGTTTTGGTTTTAGCTACCTAATGGGAAGGCATAGAGAAGACAGAGATGCTCTGATCAGTGGAGCACAAAGACTGGACAAGAAGAATCAGTCACACAGGAAATTCCCACTGGATATGAAGAAAAGTTTTTCACTCAAAAGCTGGTGAAATGCTGGAGCAGGGCCCAGAGAGGGTGTGAGATCTCCACCACTAGAACAATTCAGAATTCAGACATATTCCTGAGCAGCCTGCTTTCATGGACTTGCTCTGAGCAATGCTGTGGGTTAGGGACCTCCAGGCTGCCCTACCACCCCACAGCAATTAATGATTCAGACATGGATGCACAGTTACTGCACCACTGATCTTTGTCTCTCCTGTCTTCCCCACACTCCAAGGCTCAAGAGTTGTGTGTTTCTGTGGTATATGAGATGCCAGTTTTTTCCGTGTGAACAGAACACACTGGCACACAGAAAGAAAACGTCTCATGAATTAAAAGAATCTCAACTACTGCTTACAGTTCCCCATACCTGCAGCAATGCCAAGTCAGCATCCTGAGCCAGCTGCTGCAAATTCTTCACAGCAGAGGTAGTTTTAATTACTCTCACCAGGGCAGGAGAGCAGTCCAAGGGGAGCTCATTAAGCAATGACTTCTCATCATTTAGAAGTAATAAGGCATGGTAAGGCCTGCAGAAAAAGAAGGGAATAATACATTTGTAGAGTAAACTGCAGCTTTTCCTGAAGGTGTAGTTATTCCCAGATTGGGATATCCCGTCAATCTACTGGCAAAATGAACCTCTTAACATCCTTTTGCTGTAAGCTGATTTAAAGTAAGCCTATTTTTATGTTACAAGATAAGATGTTCCCCATTAAGAGGGGAGAGAGGGCTGTATGATAACTGGATGCCCAAGTGACTACAGAAAAAAATGATGCACTGTGTTGGCACGCAATTAATCCTAGAGAATTAGACTGAAAAGAACTCATTTGCATTACTGACATATAGAATGAAATAGAAGAGAAAAAAAAAAAAAGCAGGAGCTGGTTACTTTTGCAGGTATAAAGCTGTAAACACAGAGAGCAAGAAATAAGGGGCCCAGGTTCTCTCTCCTATACAAGTAAAATTAGTCCTGAGTCAACAGATTGAATTGGACGGTCTGAAGGATTTGCTCTTACCTGATAGATTTCAGGCTTCTCTCAATCGCTTCAGGGGGAATAAAATTTGTTGCAACATAATGGATTTTATGAGGCAGGCAGAAGCTCACTTCCAGCCAATTGTTGATATGTAACCGGACCACTCCTGTTGTACAGAGACTACAATAGGAAGAAAAAAACACATCCAGCATTTATAGTGTATACCAAATGAAAACAGTGGTCCAGGTTCACTTCTGCACGTGAGTCACATCAGGACAAGAAAGGAGTGAGTGTACCACGTCCACCCCCAGGCTGGCTGAGGCCACGCTGGCTCCTGGCTGTGAGGACTCCCCTACCTTGTACTCACAGAGCACTGCACCTATGAGGGTTTGAAGCAACCCGCAAGACTTCTTCCCACTGATCTGCAGCTCCCTCTGCTATTAACACAGCAGCAGTATCTCACGAGAGAACAGTTTCTTGAAGGTCTATGCAAGCACTTATGCTAGAAAACACACACACAGGGCTCACTTTGGTTGTGACACTTCCAGATACTTCAGTGATGAACAGAATTGAGTCAGAAGCACTTCAGAAGAATGGAAACAGGAGTCTCTGAATCTAAGCAAGAAATGAAGCATACCCAGATAGGTACCTACAGCTATTGGAAAATGAGCATGGGTGGGGAAGAGAACAAGTCACTAAGCTAGCAACATCTACAAATCTTTATAAAACTCCCAGCCTGCCAACATGAGACATGCCTGGGGTCAGCTTTGGTAGAGGCAACGGGACTGAGCAGGGGAGAGGAGGCAAAGCTGAGTATCATTCCTTCTGTGGGGAGTGAGGAACAAACACAAACTTGCAAATCAATCCTAAACAACAGTCAACTTTGTGCTAGAGAGCTGAATTTCTCAGCGTGCCTCCAGGCTGTTGTCCTCCAAGATGTGTAAAAGAGTGTATCAGAGCTCAGGGAAAATGGAATGAACTCACACCTCATCCTGAGAAGCAAGGCCAGCCACCCCCAGCACCAGCCCCTAAGGACACACTGCCTGGGATCAGTCACAAGGAGTGTGCATGTAGGTCTGTCATACATGTAGAACTTAACAGGCTGTGTTTTTTGAGACAGAAAGGAACCTCTGGTTCCTTCCAAACATCCTCTGGTTTTAGAGTTTGTTGTAAAAGATTTTTTTTTCTAAACAAGACAATATTTTGAAGTTTGCACTCTGAAAATTCCAGTCTAAATTTTAAGCAAAATTGTGTTGAGATTAGCAATAGGACTTCAGTGTCAGCAAAACAGGAGAATTTCCTCTCTGCACAAAACACAGTCAGAACACTCCAGGAACAGGCAGTGTGAATACACATCCTGGACACTCCTTATGAGGTGGCTTAAACACTTCTACTTACTGCTCAGCTTCGGGCCACAAACTAACATGCTCCTTTTTAACTTCATCTGGTTGTAGATAGAGCTTAAATAGAGATGGAAATCCAGCTTTGAAACAAAAGCATCAGCATCTCATGCTGCTAGCAGAACCAGCCACCAAAGCACAACAGTGTGAGAGCACCAATATGATCCCATCCTGCCCTATTCATGAGGTAAAACCTCACTGCAGACAATGCTCTGTAAAGCAGGTCTGCAGTGAGGTTTGAGAACAAATCCTGCACCGAACGCTGAGATACGTATTTATTATTTGTCAGGGTGCAAAAGGAATAAGCACTGCACATGTCTTCCTTTTCTTAAGAATGCACTGAAGAGATGAACCTGCTTTCCCTGGTGCTGCTATCTCCCACCTGGTCAGAGCTCCGGGCCCTGAGGCAAAGCAAGGCAAACACCTCCCTTTCTCTTGCATTAAATGCTGCAACTCCATTAGCACTGCTTATCCTACCAGATGTACCAAGCTGACAGAGAAAGATGGATTATCTTAAATACACCCACATAAAGGGCAACCTGAAGCAGAAGTTACCCATTCACACCAAACACTCACAAGAGAAAACGTGACAAAAAAATCCATGAATGATTAAGAGAGGACATGAAAGCAAATGGGGCTGTTAAAGTGGGCGACCAAACAATGACAGCATGAAGCACTTGCAGGGATATTTTCACAGTGAAGTTGAATGTTCAGAAAACAGACAAAAGTGCAGTTGGCTCCTTTCATCCTCTGGCTCATGTGCACAATTTCAGAAGCTTTAATTATATAATTACCCTCTCCACAGCATAATTTTGTCTGCAGTGCATTATACAACAATAGTTTAAAATTAAAGACAAGAAGAAAAACAGATTTTGAGTTCTGATCTCGAATTTAATTTCATTTTTCCACATTTGCATTCAATCCCAAGCCTTCATTATAGCTTTCTATAATGGTTTCTCCTCCACCCCTCCCCCCCTTGAGTGGAAAATAATTTAACTCTAATAATCTGGCTGAAAATAAGCAGTGACCCCCAGCAACAACGGATGGGACTGCACCTGGCCAGTCACAGCCAAACAGTTACACCACCGTATATGCAAGGATTTGTGAAGCATGAAATACAGTCACAGAAAGCAGACTGGGGTCGAGTCCTGAGAGCTGGGGCTGCTCAGCTGAGGAGGCTCAGGGGATCCCAGCAGCACCATAAATACCTGAAGGCTGTTTGCCTCACGTGTGTTACTGTACACCCGTCTGTACTGAATTTCATCTGCTGTTTTATCTGTTTTATCCAGCAGTTTACTGGCATTCAGTAGCAGTAAGCCCTGGGAGATGGCTAATGAGACTAGGAGGAGCAAAGTTCAGAAAGAAACAGAAAGAACCAGAGCAGCCACGGAGCCCCTTATCAGAGGATGCTGTGGTCATTAAATATTTACTTTGGCTTGCAGGAGAGAGGACTGAATTCGGGAAGTGAGATCAGCTGAAGGCTCTGGAATATACAGAAAGCACCTCCAGAGCTGCCAGCTGCAGGAAGCTGGGGAATACTGGATGCAACATCACTGCTCCTTTGCCCTATTCTTATGCTCTGCCCAGAACAGTGGCTGCACGCCACTGCCCCAAAGTAAGAATCCAAAGTTTCCCAGTATTCTGCATGATTCCAGCCTTCTCTGTACAACTACCAACAAAAAATACACTATTTCACCTCATATTTTATAAAATGGTTATGAATTCCTACAGACACACAGAGTATTTTATGTTTATCCCATTTACATCAGAATTTAATAACACTTCTGCTAGTTGTAGTAAACTCCCATCTGAGTTTATTTTTGCTAGAAGTTGTGACTGTTTGGAGCTCTGAAATGGTTTTACACTTTGGTGTAAAGGATACATCCACTGTCCTTTGGTCAACTAACTGCAGCTCATTAATATCTTACATACATCCATATAAATCCCCATGTAATAATTTATTATTCCCCTTCTCAAGGCAGGATGGGCTAGAGCCACTGAGCAGTTCTAATCCCACTAGTAAAAATGTGTGAAGGCACTTTGTGTATTAAGAACAAAGAAATAAAACAAAAAAAGCCAATCCTCTCCTCCTCAAAAAATCATCTTTTCACTTTTTTTTCTGATATAAAGCTAGTAGAAATTTGCTAAAACCAGATGAGCAGTTAGCTATCATCAGGCTAACCAACTAAATTATCTGCACCTGTAGATAAACTTAATGAAAGCAGTCTTTATTCCTTAAAATGAACACTGGCTTAAAAGAGGCTCATATTATAAATAGGTCATCTGTGGGCACTGGAGGTGCTGGCAATAGGAATTGTTAGACTGGAGCCATTGCTCTTTGCTCTATTACAGTGCTGCAGCGTGGAAGGGGGAAGATGACAAAAGATTCCCAAATCAGTTTTCTGAACTGACTGAAGAGAAACATTCCGGTTTTAGCCCTTAAGAGTCAAAAGGTCCCAGGAAGTCATGCTGACTACCTCTAAATTCCCACTTTAATAACACTCGACTCCTACAACAGCAGTAGTGTTATGGTCCAGGTGACCTGGAATTGCTTGCTGCCTTATAAACTATGGATGTTTCATTCAAAAGGCAAAGGACATGCTGAATTACAAAAAGATTCACACACTTGTGGTTCTGCATAAACCACCTTACTAAGAGATGTGTTGGATCTTGCCTGAATTACCTCAGCACCATCTACAGGAAAGCAAAGGGTAGGCAGTGCTTCTGGAGCAACTGGGGTAATTCAAGAGACCTTTTGTCTGGAATTCCAAAAACACCATCCAGCAAGACCACTGACTGCTCTTCAAACAGAGCTTTCCACTCAAATGCAAAGTTATTTTATACTTTTACTAACAGCTTATTTCTTACATTTGCTCATGACAGTGCTGTGCAAAGCAGAGTCAAAATATGCTGCACATCCCCTCTCTCCCTCCCACACTGCCTACATGAGAGAGATTGCTTTATATTACCTCTGGCAGCCAGCACCAATGCGTGCTTTGCCATGGACATTCTGCTCCTCTTTTTGTGGAAGGGCAGCAATAATACAGCCCACAGGCCTGTGTGCTCCTACAGTCACAGCTACATGCCACAAGATGTCACTGTGTCACTAAAATGTATGGAAATGAGATAAGGAATTGCCTAGTCACCAGCACGCAGCCTGAGAGGAACAGAACAAAGTAAGAAGCAGGTGAAAAGTTTCAGGTAAGAACAACAGGCTACACAAAGAGTGCCCTGTGCTGACATTTAGTACAGATGTGGTGAGAGTTGCACTGAACAATAAACAAACACGCTGAAATTCAGCGTTCTTGAATACAGTGTAAAAACATCTTATTAAAGCTTTATTATCATTTAATTATTTAGGTTCTCAGTGTCTTCCCTTTGGATAAGGGGAACTGCATCCCAGAGAAGCTTAAGAGTTGCTCTGAGATAATGCAGCGCTCTACAGTCAAAGAAGGAACTCAACAGCAGTTTGCTTCAGCCCAGACAAACACCCACATCAAGGGGCACATCTTTCTGCCCACCAAACCCTTCTGTTCTCTGTCCTTATTTCCCCAGGTGCATTTCCTGAATGAAACTGTCTGCTCAGCATGAGGAGTCAGCGCTGACACGCTGCTGGAGGAGGACGCTGGAGGAGCTCGGTGCCCAGCTCCTGCTGAAATCCAACCTTTAATCCACACTTCTTTGAAATCCTCGCCAGAGCCTTTAATCCAGTCAAGAAACAGCATGTTGTACTTTCCATTCTGCTGAAAGTCTCACAATCTAATTCAAATTCTATGTCTAGACATGCACGGTGTAGCCAAATGAAGGCAAGACAGTATCTGGCATTGCCATCAGCACTTGATGTAGCCTTTTTCCCTTACCTGTTGGTTTTGAGCACTTCTACAGAGATAAGATATTCATATTTTGACACTTTCCAATTCTACAATTTGTTTGTCATTACATGCCTCTATTCTGAAGAAGAAAATAATTCTTAAAGCTGCAACAGACCACCAACTGTTAAGAAACATAAAATACCCAAAGAGACACAATGATGATTAGGAGAGCAATTCTGCAACCATTTCACCTGACAGCAAGCCTTCACATCGTACTACCTGGTCTAAAAACAGATTTCAGTGAATCAGCAACATGAGGAGATGGATAACCACCTAAGGAACAGGGCCAGGAGGTTTCAGTGAGAAGCAGTGTACTGTGAGCTACGAAGGAAATGCTACTTACCTGTCGTAAGTCTCTTTGAGATCTCTGGCCAGTTTGCACTTGGGCAGGATGTGATGAAAAGGTGACTGCGGTCCTTCTGTAGCTATGGAACATTTCAAAACAAGAAAGCAAATAACTAACTTCAAAGTAGAGAGAATTTCCTCTTCTCCCTCTAGGCACAAACCAGCACCTTAGGCACAGAATCCCTACCTTCTTAATTTACACTTCTATTTCAAAGCTTTTATGATAATCCAAGTTAAGTGTCAAGATAATAACAGTGAATTAATGTCAGCTTCTTCTGATGCTCAACTCAGTTAAACACACATATTTGTGAGCTTGACAAGCAATGATATTAAATGGTTTTGGTTTTTTATACATACTAGTTTTAGTTTTCAACACTTGCAGCAAGACGGTGCATCAGACAGTACAGTCAGTTCACCCTAGACTGTGCTTATTATTGTAGTTAATTGTTATAAAGCATGGTCAATAAAAATGCTATGTAATACAATCTGTTGGTCATGTAAACAGGTAAATTTCTACACAAGACAACTGGTGACTTGGACACAGCATCAGCACGTGCCAGGCTTGCTCTAGGTTGAGTGAAGCTGCACCACATGAGTTCTTCCATCTCAGTCTGACAGGCAAATTCAAACATTCAGTGCACACTCTCCAGTGATTGCTCTGAACTAAGATAGCAAAGAAAGCAGCCAAACTACTTCACTTTTTAAAGCTGACGTCTCTGCATAGGAATTGTGATCTTGGATGAGGCAAAATGCAGTCAAAAGCTGTCAGAATGCTAAAGAGCACCAAGATGAGCACATCCTGATCCCAGCCACAAAAGGCTCCATCAGCACTTTTCTGAAAAAGTACTCCTGACAAACATATTCCTGTCCAAGCTCAAAACTCACTTTCTGACATGGCAGACACTTCATCCTGAATAGCTAAGATGAGTTTGGCCTCCCTGGTCAGGTACTGGCAGCGGCGTTCCTCGTGCTGCAGGACGATGGCGATCCGACGGGAAAGGTTGTGTAGGCAGTTTATCACTGATGGATCTGCATTGGCCTATGGGCAACACAGAAACCGGTCGGTCAGTCAGCCACAATCACATTTATGGAACTAAAGTGATGGGTAAGTCATCATAAGTAATCAAAGTAATCATCTTCAGCAGATACCATGGTCAGTCTTTGGCAACAGGCAAAAAAAAAGGAATTTTCTATGAGAGCAAAAAGGCTGTCAGAGATATCCACAGGTAAGGAAGAGCAGGATGAGGGATTTCTAAGCTTTTCCTTACACAACAAATTAACACAGCACTTGGAGTATGTGACTCAAAGCTGTTTTATTTTTTCCAGTTGTTACTGGGCCTTTTGCTAGCAGAGAAACCAAAGAACTCCATTTTACACAGCAAGAGAAGAAGATGTCAAGTTGTTTGAAAAGGAGGAACAACATAGAATCACAGAATGGGTTGGAAAGGGACATCAAGGATGATCAAGTTTCAACCCCTGTGCCACAGGTGGGTCTCCTAACCTCTACACCATGTACTACAACAGGCTGCCCAGGGCCCCACTCAACCTGGCCTTAATGACCTCCAGGGTGTCCACAGCCCCTCTGGGCAGCCTGTTCCAGCATTTCACCACTCTCTTGGTAAACAATTTTGCCCTGACATCCAATCTAAATCTCCCTTCAGTTTAAAACCCTTCCCCCTTGTCCTAAACATCATGATATTCAGCTGACTGGGAGCGTAGGGACAGCAATGCCTTCAACATGGCCTGTTTATACTGCGATTCCCTTACATCCTCACAAGACAAATGCTGATTTTATTAGAAGCACCAACACGTGATCAACACTTTGATCCAAACCAGAATGAATGTGGGTTTGCATTCCATTCCATTTCACAAATATAGCTTGTTACATACACTGCATTTGTGCCAGTCCCCTTTGTGCTGGAAAAAACTATCACATCAGGACAGCTGACAAGGGGGGACTTGGTGGCTCTAGTCAGGGAGTGCACAGCACACAGCTGCCTCATGTTTGTTAAGATATTTAGAGGAATTCACAGTTCTAGCAAGTGATAACGTGGCACACAAACTAGCAAACCATGAGTCAACACTTTTGAACTCTGCTGTTCTTGCTGAGTCACGACACGTTGTAGCCCTGAACTTAACACAGCAGGATGGGTGCTGATTATAGCTTTTGGGACTTTGCCTGCTGTCTGCTTGCTGCAGATGGACTCTCCTCTTTATCTCAGAATACCTCCACCCACACTTTGCAGTGCACAAATTTCCACTTGCTTTACGCACAGCACTTTCCAAAAACTTGACAGCTCTCTATGAAGTATGAGTGTCTTATTTGGCAAACACCATTCACTGCTGCATTAAACACGTAACTACATCAGTATCCTCACACTGCCAACACACAAAAAAGCAAGTTTTCCCTAGAACCACTAAACCAGATTCTGAATAAACACACATCAGCTGAAGTCTTCATTATACCTCACCAAGCCCTGGCAATGCTGTGAGTGAAGGAGCATTGTTTGTAGCACTCCTGCTTCCTCAATGTGCAAAAACACAAGTGTTTGCAGGTCCAGTTACTTGCTTACAACCAAAGCAGGATGCTTTACTAGAAGATCAAGACTTTTGAAGCCAGTGTCTCTTACTGTGTGAAATACAAAATCAGCTTCTGTACAAACTTAGCACCTTCTAACCTAACAATATCCCACTGCACAACACTGGATCCTCAGCAGAACTTGATGAACAACTTCTTGCTTGATTCAGACTGATTGCTGGCATAATTGTCACTTGTGAAGTCTTGCTCTTCCACTGAAGAAAAGCCACATGGACTGTGGGTATGCATATGTTAGTCACCACTGGAAAGCCAGCAATAAGAAAAGTGCTAAAAGTACTTCACAGCTAGGTAATTGGAGGCTTTAAAATCATGACACAATATCCAAAGTCGTGGTCAACCATCTCTACAAAGCCAGTCATTCCAACTCTCATTTAAAAAATGTGCGTTGTATACAAGGCACAAAAATAGTATGATGGCTCCACAGATGTAATATGTGGGCTGCACAGAGAAAGCCACAGCTCAGAAATCAAACAGTGCATGAACATAATGAAATTTCTATCATTTTATGCTATCAAATTAGCCAAGTCAGGATCTCTTGACACAGATCCTAACTTCTTATCAGCAGTGTAGATCTGAGCAGAAAACTCAAGGAAAACATACATAACTTATCCAGCTTTTTGTTTAGCATCAAAATTCATTTATTCCTCGCATGTACCTTCACCTCAATCAGAATGCTACAGCCAGCTGCTCCCTGGCATGTTCCTTCTTTTACAGAGATCTCGTGGCTAAGAAGTGGCAGCTTCCAAACACCTCCCACTGAATTGTAAAAGAGGCCTGGAGGCACTGAGCAACAGCACAGCGTATCACACAGCATGACTATGGGCACAAAACAGTGCTGTTCTGACATATCACTTCAAGAAAAGCATCAGGGTTATAAAAAGGAACAGCTTTTGTCCAAACACACAAGGACTGCCAAGAAAACTCTTCAGGCATCAAATCAAGAGCACCTTCATCCACAGACCAGTTTTAGATGAAACTGCAAGACCAACGTGACCCCACTCAAAGCACTATGAGAAGAAAGAGAGAAAAAGGAGGGGGGGGAGAGGATGCAACTACATAATTTACATCGTTTGACACAGTCAAATGCCTAATTTATTATTTCCATAGACTCAATTGTCTGTTATTCAGGGGAGCACTGAATTAGAATGCTCCACATAATGGAAAAAAAAAAAAAACAAACAGGCAAAACAGGTTCAAGGACTCAAACCCATTCCTTCTGATCCAGCCCACATAACTCCTGGTCCAAGTGATACACCTTCCCAGAACCCAGAGCACCACAGTAGCACATGGAGCTGCCCCCCATCCAGGTCTGAATCCAAGCTAGTAAACTTTTACTGGAAAGTGTGATGGGTCTAGCGTGCACAAAGCAGATTTCTGAATGGCTCTGCACTGAGCAAGCTTCAGCTAACCAAAGCCATGGCAAGGCTGTAACTCACAAGGCTGGCCACAACGTGCCACTGTCTGTGTGTGCTGCTGCCTCTGATTCTGGAGCAGAATTGGACACCAAGGTCAAAGTTGCACAGAGCCACAAAGGTCCAGCAACACGCTAGTGCATTACAATGGATCTGGTCCTATTCTGGGCAGAAGGAAAAGAGAGGACAGCATCTGGCACACAGCACAGGAAGACACAGGCTGCCTTTCCACACAGCCAGCTTAGACAGGCTTTAATGGCACTGTTAGAAAAATCACAGCAGGTCACCATTTCACACATCACAAATGACAAGACACAAGAAGATTTGCAACAGAGGTCATATAGAATTTGCAAAGTGATATCTTGCAAGCCCCTACCCTATGACTATTTAAAATAAACAAAAAAACAGCTCTACAGTATGTCCTGAAGAGAACAACTGTGCTTGAGCTATATAGAGGGCTGGGCTGAAAAAGTTTCCCACTTCTCAGTGTGATGTTCTAACACTTTTTGATGTTTAGTTTTGTTGTTTGAAATTAAAATCTCCAAGTGAAATCAGGCACCAAATGTTTGAAAAGAGACTACTGGAACATGAGCCTACTGCACTCTGTTACACAGCTGAGGTGCATCCCACTCCCCAGTGACAAGTGACAGTCCTTACCCTCAGGGCAAACACAACATTGAAGAGGATCATAGTGGGCATCTCTCTCTTTGGTGAAGGATCCGTTTTGGATACCTGAAAAAGATTTAGAAGGAATTCCATAGGCTTGTGTGCTTTGGAACTGGTAATGAAGGGAGAAAAAAAAAGAAGGGAAAAAAAAGAAGAAAAGCCTAAATCAGTCAAGTAACAGTTTGCTGAGAGGACAGGCAAATCAAATTAGAACATCAAAAAATGACTTGCAAAAAATAAAACCATGTTTGTTTGTTTGTTTGATTAAAGTGTCACAGTTATTCTACATTTTCCAAGAAGCTGATAAAGCATTTTGGTCAGAACAAAGGAGTGTGTAGCAATCTTGGAAGTGTCCTGTATTGCATTTTAGTACCATTAGGGGCCTACACAGAAATTTTCCTCAGCACAATTGTCATATACTGTTAGCACAGAAAATTTCTCAGCCCCATCCACATCTATTTCTCTTTTTAAAAAATCCCCCATTTGGACTGCATGATGATTAAAACTATTGCTTTCATCTGAACAACTATGCTCTGTAACTGCCCCAATTCGAAATCACCTTGCTGTGTCCATTTGTTCTCACGTTTCAGGTTCTAGGATGTCTTGTGAACTTCAATAAAGACTTAAAAGCATTTATGTGTGGGGTCTGATTCTTCCTTAAAATCAAAGAAACCACCACAATTAACATCAGCTGGAACTGAGCTAATTTCCACCTCACCTCTTGTGCAAGAAAAAAAGAATAAATTATTAAAATGGAATAGAAAATGGTGAAAGAATTTGAAGAATTCAGAACATCACTACATAAAAGGCAGTCTGACACCTATAATTAAATACTGGTGCTCTTGTAGTTTCTGAATCTCATCTGAGGAAGAATTTGCTGTCCTGTGCAATAACTCACTGTGGTGTGAACACCAAAGAAATTCAAACCAGAGACTGACAGGTTACTCCAGTCACTGCTTCTGCACCGTGGGAAAGGAAAGAAACCATCTAGCTTCTTTCTAACCTCCAAAGGGTCCCTGATTTGGACCCAAATGAAGCAGCAGAGATGGCTGCCACATCCAGAACATTCTGGAAACTAGGAGTTTCTCTAGGTGCCTGCTAGAGTGATAAGAACACGCCCAAGAAAAAGATTCTACTAGAAGCAACAAGAAGGTGTTTCCAGCACTCTGTCATGCTGTTTATTTACCCAGATGCAATTTCATTTAGACAAATTGAAAACGAAGAGAAATTTCACGCAATTACGATAAAAGTGACTACAAAGCAGAAAGAATGTATAACACGTGGTGAACAACTGCAAATACGACTTTTCAATTTCATTCAGATTCACCACACCACATTTAGGAAGCTGTGCCTTTTGGACAGCATTGGCAAAATAAATGAATCTAGTACTGTGAGAGAGCAGGCCACTGCTGTCAGGGCCCTGAGGGCACCAGAAGGTCTCAGTGGCATTGACCAGCACCACTTCAGTGCATGGCCCAGGAGTCATGCTAAGGCTTAGCCTGGGGCCTTCAATCCCTGTCCAAGGATGGGCCTTGGACCTATGTTGTGGGTGACATGCCTCGTGGATGGACCCCACCAAGTACACAGCAGCCCTGTCCTCCAGCCCTGCCTCCGGCTCCATCTCCCTTTGCTCCTGGCTGGGCTCCCTGGTCATCTCTCGCCTCCTGTGGGGTTGGTGACAGACCCTGACCTCTGCAGTCAGACCCACACCTCTGTGGGTGGGTGCTGCCTGTGTGGGATTGCCCACACAGACAGCAATGCAGAAGGTCCAGAGCATCCCCCTCTTCTCTCCTCCCTTCCTTAGTCCTTTCCTCCATCATTTCACAAAGCCTGACACACACTGAGACGGGCTGTAGGAGTTTCTTTGACAACAACACAAGGTAACATCTTCTTGTCTCTCTGTTAGCATCATACTATTTGCTGTATGTGTCTCAGCCAGAACCATGAATGGCAAAACAAGAAGTACCTTGCAAACCTGCTTCAGCTTCCCAACACCTGACCAACTAGCTTTCTCCCACCAGCACACTTTTGGTGCCTTAGGGTAAGTGGGCACTGCTGTTCTAAGCACAGACAAGGCCTTCTGAAGTACTTGCACAGCTTGGGGGCATTTGAATTCTGTCTTCCAAAGCATCTTAAACATTTGAGGGTTGAGCCTTGGTGATATTCAGTCACATTTCCTGTAGGCTCACAAATGAGTTTCGGAAGTGGAACACCAGCAGCTTTTGATGCTTGATGCCAGCTTCTTACTTGGATGAAAGTAGTCCTACAGCAATCCGATCCTCTAAATATCAAGCAGCAGTTGCCAACAATCTGTTTGCACCTCTAATTATAGATAGAAAGGATGACAGAATTGGCAAGCAGATCTTTGCCTGAAAAACTGAACAGTTTTGTAAATTTGATGAAAAATGAGATGAAAGCAGTTCAGTGATACAGATTAGTGTTGTATTCAGAAATTACCAAGCCTACTTCATTTTTACGGTCTGTCAGGAAGAAAGAATGGGAAAGGGATTATTTTCTATATAGAACCACGCAAATTATTTCCTAGAGTTAAGCAGGGCCTTTTCCATAAGCTGGGTGGCAATTGCTTTCATTCCAATCAGCTAAAACACAGGCCATAGATCAAGGTCTCAATGCAAACAGCAGCCTAAATTTGTCCATGAGAAAATTTGAGACCTCTTCCTAACATCTGTGAGGGTTTTGTTTTGTTAGGTTGTTTTTTTTTTTACTGCCACGCTAATTGGAGGTGCTAAAGCCCTACTGTGCAACAACTAGCATCATAAGAAACATGCTTTTTGAGGTGGACTGTTTATTACCACTTCTCTTTATCCACACTGCTTTTCTTAAGTAACCAAATGGGCTTTTCTGGAAACCACTGACACAGCTCCCTCAGTTTGCCACTCACTGTGGTTATCTGGAAATACATACAGACAGCTCCGAGCATTGTGAAGAATCAGAAATCAGGAAGAAGCAGGATCAAAAGAAAACATATCCATTCTGAATTTTAAGTCCCCTCATTAAGATACACAACTGGAAAAGAAAGCATGCCTGCAAGCAGATCTCTTACCATACCTGCCCAAGGGCATGCTGAAGCAATGTAGGGTGGCCAACAAAGCGAACATTATCGATCTTCAGTTCAAATTTTTTGCCACACATATCTGACTTTGTAGCCAAAATTGTTGCCAGGATGACATCTGAAAACCTTGAAGAGCAGAAACAGAAGTTATTACAGTTTTCAAAAGCCATACCACTTGAATGCTCATCCAAACAGATTTATTTAATTGGTGAGTTATTTTAATATTGTAAATTGTGTCTGAATTACTGTACCTGCGTACCCCAATTATGGAAAATTAAGAATCCCTTAGTTATATCTCTCAGATCATCACAATTATCAAACAGGAAGCATTCAAGACAAAGGCTGCAGGGTCATGCTTATTTAAGTACATGCTCAGCAAAATACATTGGAAAGATTAGATGCAGTTTGTTTAAATATAAAAACAGCTTGAGTTAGCCATTGCCTGGATTTAGCTGCAGGTTAATGAACTTACTAAGCAACTACATACCAAAACAGCCTGTCACTCAAGCACAACAAAGACCTTTAAGCCACCCACTGCGACAGAGGGGAAGGCAAGACAGAGCTGATTCAAATAAAAGAAATAAATATTCTACGCTTGTCCCTCCTATTTAAATCTAACCTCATGAAAGTTACTTCACTTAACAGAGCTCAGGCTGCAGTCAAATGCCCAGTGGCACCCTTCTGAGAGCTGCATGGCATCCGCCAGGCTCATGTGCTGCACTGAACCAAGACAAAGTCATGGCAGTGGGCCCTCATTGGTGCCCACCTTGCTGCAGTGGGACTGTGCTGCTCCAGAATTGTGGTGGGAAGAAATAGGAAGGCAAGTATCTACAAGGAGTCTGCCAAACAAAATACATCCACAGCTGCAAAACTGGGTCAGAACTGCAATGTGACAGGGAAGGATTCTGCAACCACTTTCTGATGGCTTTACAACATCGGCCTGGTCTTTCAAAATACTCCTTTTCCTCAGGGCATCCCCTGAGACAGCAGAGCTCAAATCCATAGAAAAGGGGACCTCAGAGAGCTGCCAGGGGAAGCTCATTATTGCAGGATGGGAGCAGTGAGAGGTTTGATATCAACAATGTTCTTTCCTTGTTTGATTTCCCATTTTACCAAATGGATATCAAGCCAGCTTCTGAAGAGACCAGCTTTTTTAATCATGGCAATATTCATTTCAGTTTCTTTATTTACATTCACGGTGTGTGCCCCTGTCAGACCACCCCCTCCACCATGCAGGTATCCCAGATAACACAGTATCACTCAGAGAAAAGGGCAGACATGGGTGTGTTCCACACCCACCTTATCTCCCGGCCACAAGCAGGCCCCCAGTGCCCACAGAAGCAGTCAATGTACCGCATTCCTGGTTTGCTCTGAGTGAGTTACGGTGCAGTACAGAAATACACAGACAAGTCTTTTGTGTGTATCCACCTGCATGTGATTCAGGGGCTGTTTTTTCATTAGACCTACATACATTGAAGGTGTAGGATAACACAGGGCCTTTCTGAGCTGTCAAAGCCTCTGATGCTCGTACAATAAAGTCATCCTGACCGTGGTTGGATAGTGGTAAGGGGCAGCTCCATACAAACTTCCAAATCTCTGGCTGCTCTGCTCCAAACAGGATGCCCAGCACTGCTGAGGGCTAGCAGAGACAAGGGGAGACTGGCCACAGACTCCTGGGGCACTGAGCCAATGCTCCTCAGCCACTGCACTGGGCTGGGTTAAATGACACACGGAGTTTGTAAAGAAAAGGTAATGCTTCCTCAGACTGGGCCTGGCTTGGCAGTCCATGGTGATCACATTTGAAATAGGAGAGAAAGTCACCAAGACAGCAGTGAGCTTCCCCTGTTCTTTCTGTCCTGCTCAGCTGTGTCAGTTAACAGGCTCTCTGTGGAGCCAGGCAGACTGTAAGAGCAACAGATCAAAAATGACCATCTGCTTTGTTAAGTGGAAGCAGGAGGGCAAACTAGGAAGTGCCTGCTTGCTGGTAAGAAATGAGTCACTTCCTTCCCTCAGCCTTGACAAAGGACATCTTGGAAGCTGGAAAACCAAACTTCATTGTTATGACTTACACCACTGTTAAGATTTGACTTCGACATGGAATTAAAGCAAGTTACTTTCATGCAGAACTGTGGTGCCAAACAATTCAGCATTTCCACAGGAGAGCTCATGACACTGACATTCAGCATCAGCATGACTTTGCATTTGGCTCAGTAGGGAGCAGTGGATTGAAAGGTTAATTTTGTAAAGCCTTCCCTATCTTCTTGCTGGCTGGAACCTCCTTCTGGGACAATGCTTCAACAGCAGCCAGGTGACACGCTCAGGATATGTATATCCCTCTTGATGGGTTGCAGGGGTTCCACCTGATGGCACCTCCAGAGCAACCTGGACTCCAGACACATTCTCCTGGTCTGACAGCCTGGATTCATTGGTTTGGTCATTTGATCTTACCTCTCACCCCCCAAAACCACTGCACATGATTTATACATTTCTCAGGTCTCTGGATGGCAGGGAGACTGAGGGACAACAGATATGTCACTCCCATCATTTTATCTCAGACAATAAAGCAGCCAATGCAGGCTGCCTGCTGCCACCAGCACCTCCTCTGGAACTGACACAGCTGAAACAACAGCACCTTTGCCTTAGCATGCAGACAAGAGGGGAAAAGGATCTCAAACAGAACTTCAGTGTTTCCCCAAGGGTGGATAATCACTTTTAAGGTGCCAAAGAAATTCAAAAATTCTTCATAATTTTCAGATTACAAAGAATTTGTATTTGAGGTAGGGTAGGGGGGAAGCCGACTATCTAGGTGACCATCTTTGTGCTACACAAGGACTAGAAATGTATTTTAATACTTATGGGCCCTTGGCAGAGACAAGCCCTTTTCCCTCTGCACGTTCAGGAAGGGGCTATAATGCAGTTGTCAGTTCAGCTTAGAAGGGCACCAGGAAGGAGCAGCTGCTCAAAAACAGCTCTGCAATGAGCTCTGCATAATTATTGTGAGATTATAAATAGTTCAGTCACTCATCTGTACTTTTCGGTCATTGCTTGTCAGAAGGCAATTTGCTTCAGGGCTCCTTGCTGGCATAACTACAAAGCTAAGGCTATTCTTGTTGCACTCTTGGAGGATCACAACTTTTCTCAGTTCACGTTAGGGACAGTACCACACTCATTCTGGTTACCCTGCAGAAAGCACAGAAGTGTTAGTAGGACCTCTGTAATTATCCTAGCATTAACTGTTAGGAATATGTTTCCTATAGACATTGTGATTTAGCACATAATTGCCTCATCATTTGGTGTAAAGTAGAAACCAGAAACAAAGCACACTGACAGGATGGTGAGAAAAGAAAGCCATTCTAGACAGAGGTGGTTGTTGAGAACATTTGGTCTTACCCTGAAACCAATTGTTCATCGGTTAGAGGACATTGGTCTCTGAAATGGGAACATGGCCATAAACACAAACAAAAACATAAACAAAATAAACGACGCAAGTACATAAAATACAAAAAGAAAAAAAAAAAAAAGAGAGAAAAAGATAATGTTAAAAACTAGGAGGATTTATTAAGAGTTAAACTCCTGTAAAGAAAATGGTAAGTATTGAGAAGAGGCGCAAGTTAATGGTAAGTGAGTTGCTGGATGTGCTGCAGGCTGAGGTTGATGACATTTCAATTCTCTCAGCAATGCTATGGCAATGGGTTCCCACAACCTGCTGCATTTATGGAATTGCACTCATTAAACTCATGCTTACCTTAAAACAGACAAACAAACACATAAACAACAGCAAAATAACAGAAGAGGTTCCACTCTGATTTAGAACAGATTCCAAAAGTCGCTTTGTTTCCTAGAGTTTCTCCAGTGGTTTAAAAGGCTTTAAAAGCTTTACGCTGCCCACTGTAGAAAAGGGAGATCAAATGGAAACCTCCACCAATTATTTAATGCAGGAGACAGCTGATTTCCACTGGTCGTGTTGAGAAGGTAGAACAACCCTAGAGGACAAACTATACAAAGAGGGTGATACTACAGAAAGGGATGGATGGGTGACCGGAAAGGAAGAGGCTTACAGAAAAGAAAGCTTTCAGAACAAAGAACAAGGAGAACACTGAGGTCCAGTGAAAGAGGGACAGAGGATATAGAAACATTACCACAGGAGAAGGACTGTTTGTTAGAAAGGGACATTCACGTCCTTGTTTCAGTAGCTTGGGTTTCTGTAACAAAAGTATTTAGCCAATTGATGACATCAATGCTGCAAAGCTTGCTAAATCTCTTTGGTTAAGTCAGTTATGCTACTGAAAAATGCAGTGTCCTGTGCAACAGGTTTTTCTGTGTGCATCTGCAATAGAATTTTTGCTACTGTATCCCCTTAAAAAAAACACCAAAACTACAAAAGACATTTCAAACCAATTTAACAAAGCTTTATCTTCTGGCTTCAACAGAGCTAATGCACAACTTCACACTTTTGGAGGAAAAAAAAGAGAATAGCAAGCATCTCCAATAGCTCTGAGGAGTATATGTTATTGCACTCAAATAGCACTCAAATCTGAAGGATGTTTTTGAAGACAGCGAATTAGGGAAGTATGAGAAGAGGCCAGCATGGAGAGCCACTGACAGGTCATTAGTTTCAACAGTGACAGATTTTTCTGAGCATCTCTCTGTTGCATGGCCAACCCCAGCACACCTTGACCACTTGTGTTGCTTGACTTGCTTTTGAGAGGAATAAAAGATCTATATTCAAAAGACCTGGAGTTACAACTCTGTGAAACAGAAATCAGTATAGCCAATACACACCAGTAACCTGGAGGTAGGACTTCATGAATAGGCTGCAGTTCTTTTTAAGTAACAGAAAGCATAATGAACGCCAGGAAATTCATGTCTGAAGGATTCAAGAAATCCAATTACGGATACAAAGATGGAAATGGAGAGTTATGGCACCTAAACTGATGTCATTTTCTGGAGCCATAAAGAAATACTTACAACTCAACTGCTCCACAAGAGATCAGCTCAAAGGTAACCATTCTGGCTTCCAGCAGCTTAGGAAAAAAGTGATATTGAATGTTCTCTAAGACATATTTGATCCTAGAGTGCCAGTGAATTGAAGGCAGTCATCCAGGATGGGTCCAACCTTCATACAAACTATTGCAGTGACTAGATAGATCTGAAATAGCCTTTGTTACTAAACATGAGAACATTATCAAACTTGCCATACACCATCCACTCAGCTTAGCATCTGCCCTCTCCAAAACCCCAATTTGTGCTGCCAAAAAACATCCATAGCTACTACCTATATGTGGTGATTTAAAGGGATCTTTTTGCCAACCTTTCCTTGAAGCAGCCTTCCAGAAATAACACAGTGATTCACAAATGACTTTCACGTGGGACAACTCCAATCAGATAATCAAAACCAGCAGCACGTGGATGGGACTTCATGCTGATGAATCTGAGGACTACTGCTTTGGGGAGAGCACTGCTGCAGCTCTGTGCTGCACCAGGACAGAACTGCTATGGGGAGACAGGAGGGGCTCTCACAAACCTGGTCACTCCACAGCCTTCAATAGAAACATAAAAAAACATTCCAACCTGGAGCCCAAGAGAAAAAAATTATACAGGCTCAATAACAACACTGGTTTTATGGCATATGATATTTAAGCTCCTTCCTTCCCCTCTCCATTCACAATGACTACAAACCACAGGTATCTCCCTCTCTCCCCAGCCATTGCCCCTCTGCCTCTGCTCACTCCCAGGATCTGTTCTGCACTGTCACCAACTCTCTTACACCTCCACCTGCCTCATGCATATCAGAAGCCTGAGCCACCTGCTGTGCACAGCCCTAAAGAGACTTTATAGCTTCCTGATGGAAGATGCACTTGCATACCTAGTGCTGGAATATTATTTCTATCTACGTCATTAAGTCTAGTGAAAAAATAAACTTCTTCTTGCCTGATGTCACTTATCAGTACTCAGTGTATAAAGAGCATTGGTAATTTCTTCTACTAGCAGGTACTGCTGAAGAGAAGGATATTTAGCTGTTGCATTAAATATACCTGCAAGCTTCCCTTCTACATTCCTGTGAGACAAGATAGCTTTTTCAGTGCATTCACAGCACTGTGAATATGGGATAGAGGTTTTTCATAAACAAAACAGAAACAAATGCAGTTTTGAAAGACGCTTTGAATTTCTGAGTGCAGACACACAGCTGTGTGAGCAGGACTAGTACTTCAGAGCAACAAGATGCTGCTCCCACCACCCCGTACCTGCATCCATAGGGGATAATACTAAGGCATGTCCTGATTAACAGACCTGTGTTAGCAAACACCTCAACATCAGGTACATAAATATAGGGCTTATAAACTCCAGTAACCTCAATATCCATCAGGTGCAGACAGTGCAGGATGAGTTTGTGTGTGTATTGCTGTGTGAGACTGCACAAACAGCAACTGCTTTTTCTGAAGGCCATCACTGCAGAGGGGGATTTCTGTCTTAGTATTCTTTCACTCAGTGCTTCAGAATGGCCCAGATTCACTTGGTGGTGTGCCAAAAAACTGATACTTTGTGCTTAGGGAACTCAGCTCCCTAAAAGCTTAACAGTTAATACCTGACCCAAGAGACCTGAGTGCTAGCCCTCAGCCCCCGATTCCTGCACAGCTCCTTGGTTAAGGCAGACCACATGTCGGGACATTCAACCTACTTAAAACTATTTTCAGTAAAATACTGAACAGTGTCAGTTGTCTCATCTGACCATAATTTGTGTGATAAAATCTCTGCTTCCACCACTGCAGTAGCCAACAGTGCATCGCACAAACTCAGCAGACAACATCCACAAGCACAGCTCTGCATTGCGTGTTTTGTCCAACCTCCCTACATGGCAGAGGCAGCAAGAATCACTATGAGAAAAAAGCTGGCACACTGTCATAAATCTCTCTAGGGAAATACTAGAGCCAAGTGAACAGCAGCCAACAAAACTCCTGAGATAACCACCAAACATTCACTGAGCACTCCCAGGTTGCATACTCGGCACTGTCCTGTGGACAGTCTGAAATGCCCTTCAACAGATATCAAACTTAAGAAACACATTTTGGTCTTTCTTCAGTTTTGCACTGTACCACACTGTGTTCCATGGAGACAAGATAGAACATTGCAATGGAAGGTTTCAAAAATACCAGAAGATGTAGTAGACACAAATGACCTCAAGATGTGTTACCTCTGCTATACTGTTTTCCTAAGGTGTCAGTCCTGGAAAAATGTATGAATTTAATGAAGTTACTGCCAGGGATGGCTGTAATTTCAGTGAAACTATTCTTAGTCAGGCTTAAGAACCAGCTTACATTTTGTAAGGTTGGCATCTAAATTGCCTTTTGGTTAAAAGCAATGACAACTTCTTCATTCTAATATCCAAGAACAGCAGCAACTACACCAGTATTAATATCTGAAATTAAAAGACATGCCACAAAAAAAAAAAAAAAAAAATCTACAACTGAACTGTGGCCCAGGTTTGTCTCCTATCTGATAATGATGCCTTTAGAACACAGCAAATTTCAGATTTTCTCCCAACACCAGTTAGAGGATCCAGGTCTATTATGTGCATGCTGAACAATGCACCACCTATGTTTGCTGCTTTTGTTACTCTCTAATTTCCTGCAGCTGAAAAACTCAGTTTCTAAGTCTCAGAGCCCTCCTGAGCCACTATTTCACTTCATGGATACACAGGCAGCTACATCCCCAGAAACACAATTAGTTGCTCAGTAGTGCACAGCAATTCTGTATCACTGTTAAGCTAAGGAAGAACATGAGGCAACTCTGTAAGAGAGCCAGTTACATGTAGGTAGGTGGAGAAAAGTGGAATTTTGCCAAAGGATTAATGCTCCTGGCTCTGAAAGAGTACCACTGCCTTTCTAACAAGCACAACTTACCCAAGCTACACTTTGCCCAGAATACAGCAGACTCACCAGCATTCACTCATTAGACATTTCTCATTATCAAACACTGATTTTCTCCTAACTTGGCATTACAATATCCCTTTGCAGGTCTTCTGTGCACTACAAGTGTTTGCCTACTGAACTAGCAATAAGAAAAAAGGAGGCCAGCTCCTCCTCAGTTTTAAAGTTAGACGAGGAGAATCATTTTCTCCCTACCTGGAGTCCCCATCTTGGTCCTCTGAGGTATCACCAGAGCTATTCACCGCATATCGACTCCGTGGTTTATCTGAGGCAAAGAATAAAGACAGCTTTCTCAGGGAGCAATCTCCTGACAGTGTACAGTAAGGTCTTGGTTTTGTTTTTTCAGTTCTCACTCACAAACACATTAACAAATGGGAGCAAGAAGCTTACATTTTCAAGGGACATGGAGAAAACAAAAGCATTCAAAGAAACAAGTTTCCTGCCAAGTACCAGGGAACAATTCATGTTTGCAGAACCATGTTGCAATTCAAGGAAGCAAAAATTAAATATTCAACTCATTAATTGTCCACATTCTTGCTCATGTTTCAGGACAATAGTGATGTTCCAGAAGCCCCCTCTGCAGTGACACATATCCAAATCTTTTACCAACAAAAAGCTGGGGAGTGACAGGAGGGAAGCAGACAGTAAATAATAACAATCTTTTCAGATTTTACTGATAAGGACAAAATGGGGTTCAAAAATGATTCTTCCTCAGTGAAAAATGGCTCACAGTCAAAAAAGAGGCATCAAATCTCACACGAGATACAGGGACTGCTGTGACAGGACAAGGGGAAATGGTTTCAAACTAAAAGAGGGCAGATTTAGATTGGATGCAAGGAAGTTTTTTGCAGTAGGGGCAGAGAAGCACTGGCACAGGTTGCCAGAGAGGCGGGGGGTGCCTTGCTTCTGGAGATGCTCAGTGTCAGGCTGGGTGAGTGCTGAGCACTGATGCAGCTGTGGGTGTTCATTTTGGGGGAGTTGGACCATAAGGCCTTTAAAAGCCCATTCCAATTCAAGTGATTCTGTGACTCCGTGATTCTGTGACATATGGCAGCTGGCAAATGATCCGTGGGAAACAACCTCATCACTGGATAAAGCCCCAGATCACACACAGGGCTCACCCATCGCGTGCCTCTCAGGATCACTTTGGCATGTTCTCGGTGCCCAAACTGCTAAATGTTCCTAGGCACCAAATTCATTGAAACTGAAAACTGATTGTAACGCTGCCCGGTGACAGGTTAGGTTTGCAAGCCGTGATGCTGTAACCTACAGCACTACACACCATGCTAAGCCCTCCCAAACCCGCTCTGGCGTTTCAGCACAGCGCAGCACACCACCAGCAGGGCTGGCCGCACACGTGGGCACGGCTCCACATCCGGCACTGCAGACCCAAGGCAGGGCAGCGCGGAACGGACAGAACTCATAGTGCAACTCCAGGAGGAGGAGGGGGCCGTCCGGGATGCGGTCGGACCATCCAAACACAAACCCCACGCCTGACAGCGGGCTGCCGCGCCAGCCAAGGAAGGCGGTGGAGGGGCTGCCAGCACGCGGGCCGGATCTCGGCCCCGCCGCACGGAGCGGCCCCGGGCCCGGCGCGCACTTACTGGCCTGGGCGGCGGGGTGCTCGGCGCCGCGCTGGAAGGGGAAGCGGAAGAGCAGCTTGTTGCCGCGGCTGCCCGAGCTCACAAGGATAACGCTGATGGGGCTGGTGCTCTCGCCCATACCGCCGCGCCGCAGCGAGCACCGGCCGGGCAACGACGCGGCTCGGCAGGAAAGCGGCCCGGCCCGCGCGACTTCCGCTTCCGCGCCTCCGCCGCCGCCGCCGGTTCCCCGGAGCAGCGGCCGATCGGCGGGGCGGAGCTGCGGGCCCGGGCCGCCGCTACGGCGCCCTCGGTGCGGCCCCGCGCCTCGCAGCCCGGCGCCGTGCCCGCGGCGCAGCCCGCACGGCCTCGCGGTGCCCGGCGGCTGCCGTTTGCCTTGTGCCCGCCGTTCCTCCCGGCACCTCGCAGTGCAGACGCGTGCCTGAAGTGCAGCCCAGCGCCTCACGGCTGAGCCCCGAGCTCCCAGTGCGACACAGCGCGTCAAGTTGGAGCCGCTTGTCCTCACGGCAGCTCAGTGTCTCACTTTTCACAGAATCACAGGATGGCCAGGGTTGGAAGGGACCTCAAGGATCACGAATCTCCAACCCCCTGCCTCATGCAGGGCCACCAACCTCCACACTTAATACCAGCCCAGGCTGCCCAGGGCCCCATCCAACCTGGCCTTGAACACCTCCAGGGATGGACGGGGCATCCACAGCCTCTCTGGGCAGCTGTTCCAGCACCTCACCACTCTCTCTATAAAGAACTTCCCCCTGACATCCAACCTAAATCTTCCCTCCCTCATCTTAAAGCCATTTCCCCTTGTCCTACTGTTATCTACCCTTTCAAAGAGTTGATTCCGCTCCTGTTTGTAGGCTCCCTTCCCTGTGCCCCCCCCTGTTCAGCCCAGCACATCACACTGGAGCCCTTGTGCCCCCAGTACAGAGCACAGCACCTCACATTCAGGCCCCCAGCACGCCAAGTTGGAGCCCTGTGCCTCCAGACAGCCAACACAGAATCACAGCATCCTTAGAGTCAGAAGATGTCTGTGCCCTCAGTTCAGCCCAGCACCTCTCACCCCCCTCTCAGCACTCCCACTTCAGCCAAGGGCTTACAGCTCGGCCCAGCACCTCATGCTACCCAGCAGTGCTCCCACCATCATCCCAGTGTCCCCAGTTCGGATCAGTACCTCACATGCCCATGCACAGTGCACCAGATCAGCCTGGCACCACCAGTGTATTCCAGCACCTCACATATCCACAGTGCCTCTGGCACCTCACACCTCTCCGGTGCCCATGGTGCCTGCAGGTTCATTCCCACCTCTTCCCACATGCCCACAAACCCCTTCACTATTTTCATGTCTCAAGATCTCCTTTGGTCGCTTTGAGTCATTCAGTTATTACAACTCTAGAACTACAAGCTGCTGGCCAACAGCAAGTGCCACAAACTGTGTTCCTCTGGCAGCTCTTTTGGCTCATTTGTCTTATTGTGTGTCCAGCTGAGATCAGAAAACTAACAGCAATTTTGTCAGAGAATGGCCCAGGTTTTTCACTTCAGTTCATCCATATTTGATAGCAATATTTAGATATTTGAATGCTCCGAGATATCCCCACTCTGGATTTTTCTCTGCAAGATTCTTTCCTTGGACTTCAGGCAGAGATGGGTGGTTGGGGACTGAAAGGGAGATGAGCACCCGCAGTGAGGGCTTAATCTGCACAGCCATTCTCTGCCAGGCAGGTGATAACAATTGAAGCAAGAGAAGCTGCCATTGAGGGGAGAGAGTTGTTGGTGAGCGATTAAAGAGCAGTCACATTATCACAGCAGAGCATTCATCGTGCTCCAGTGCTGGGCAGCTACGTTAGAATTTCCCAGTGTGTCTGCTTCCAAGCATAACTTTATTTTCTTCAATACAAAAACTGCAGGCATATTTGTCACTTCCAGCTCTTGGAGATGAGTTAAAGCAAAGCTCTAAAAAACTGCAAGCTCTTTGAGTGCTAGTAGGAAATGAAAGAATAAAGCCAGGATAAAGATTCTGCTTTTAAGATTTCCAAAGCCTAATGCACCCAAATTCTTCAGAGTTAGAGCAGATGTGTGTGCCACTGTTACCCTCTGAAATTCCCTTGGGAGAGAGGCGACTGTGCAGAACAGAGGCCCATGGGGACAGTTACCGTTCATTTAACGAACAGGAAATTATAACCTCACTTATAATGAGCAAACAGGTCTGTTGCTGACTTCAACTGACAGCCTGCTTTGGGAGAGGATAAAAAGAAGACCTACATTAGTACAAAAAAACACTTTTCTCATTTGCTCCATGCTTTGTTCCTGCAGGAGCAGGACAAGGCAGGACAGGCAGCCCCAAAGCCAGGCTGCTGTGCAGCAGGACTACGTGCCAGCTCAGCCTGCTGCTCCTTCCCAAGGCTCTGGGAACATTTCACAGCTTCATAACAAAGATACATTGCCTGTACTCAGGTACACATCATGCTATAGGTTTATGAAGCCTAAATATGAAAAGCAATAGAAAGAGACACAGTTTCCCAGAGGATGTATCAATCCTGCGACAGAGGAACAACACTGGCTGTGTTGTCCAATTCCTTGAGTCGCGTAGGCCAGGAGCCCCAAGGGTCAGCACCCTGTGGGCAGCTGGAACAGTGGGGCGAGGAACTTGGCTGAGAAGGGACGGAGCCCATCTCCATGTCACATTGCTGCACATGGCCGCAAATCTCTCTACTCCCACCAGGCTCTTTTCTGAAGAGCTCCTGAAGCTGTCCCCAGCACAACTCTGACCCTAGGCAAGCAGTGAGCCCCTCCTAGCAAACCACTGTCACCTTTGGGCTGCTCTGACTTTTGTGATAGTGCAGGAGCAACTCTTGGAGAAAGAATCCAAGTTCAATAAGGACTTCAGCACTTATCGTTCATATACAAAGCAACAAGCCTCCGGTACAGGCATCACTCTGATCTTCATGCCTACATGGACATTAATCCTCCAGTCGTGGAGGACCGCTGCTCAGGTTAAACAGCTGGCAGCAAAATAGGAAGGAGTATTGCTGGCATCTGCTTGGCTATATCTGAGTCACGGGGACTTCCCTCAAGCACTGTCAGCAGAGCTTGGAGCATCGCCATGCAGTGGGCGATGTAAGAGGTAGCGCTTTCAGAAGGAGACAACAACAGCATTATTTTCAAAGTATTTTCCTATTGGAACACTGCACATGTTTTTTAAATGCATGTAATTAGAGATGATGAATACAGCTTCTCTCAATACCTCCATCCATTTAAGCTGATGTAAACTGAATACAGCATTTTCCTGTATAAAGTGCTCAGTGCCTGTCCTGTCAGCAGGGCAGCCACATCTGGAGCACATTGCGTGTAGCCGCTGGTAGTGCTGTCAAACACAAACACATCTTGATAAGGAATCTGGCTTATACACATCAACCTGCTCAGCACAAGCATGCAGTGCTGTTTGGGCAAAGAACACGATCTGACACCTGGCCGTGCCACCAGCTTGCCATGCACTGCTACTGAGGTTTAATGGGGTGGCAGAGGGAGGTGAGTGAGGGAGCTTCATGTGCTGACAGCATTCCCCAAGCATTGGTAGCCACCATCTCCAGCTGGGTATTCCTGGATACTTTGCCCACTTAGCCGTGATTACAGACCTATACTGGCCTTTCCTTTACTCGTTTGTCCCTTCACCCATCACATGTGTCCATGCACTGAAGACACAAACCTTCTAGCACAGGACTGGGCTTTATGTGCACGCCCAGCATGCAGCACAGTGCATACCAGCACTGTTTGAGGTGCTGAGGGCTATTTCAAGACACAAGGGATAACTGGCTGTAAGAATCACACAGCTGCAAATCAAAGAGATGGAGTATGAGGCATTTATTGATGCAGCTCAGATCTGTATCAGAGGGAACTGCAGATTAAGGAAACAAACTGCTGGGAAATATCACTGTTACTGTCTCAGGAAGCACTCAGCAATTTGAGATCTGTGCACATCTGACTGGGCTTTCTCCCATAAACATGCTTCTTTTTAGTACTATACTTGATTTCATAAGCTGTCTCTCCCTGCATTCATGTGAATCATGACTACTGGTGCTGTATTTAGCAATATCAGTAGTGGAGTCGGTCCCTAACTCTTCGCAAGAGGCCAGTAAATGCCTGACAGTGCTGGAGCATATGCCAAAATCTCCACTGATTTCCTCAGAATCAGGGTCTCACTCCCCGTCCCGAGCCATACTGCACATATTCTAGCACTACCTAAGAAGTACTGAATATGCAATACTAGGCCATGTAGTGGCCATGTGTATTGGATATGGCCCAGAAAGACCCAGTGTGCACATCTGTGAAGCAAGGTGACAAATACAAATTACCATCCAAGCTTTTTAGTTTGCTCAAAATCCACTCAAAATCCACTTAAAGACATGTCCTAATCCTCCATCACTAGAATGTTCCAGCTCTATCTCTCCGTTCAACTTTTTCAGGCCACACGGCCAATACGTGTTAAGAAGCAAGAAGCTGATAACACCAGCAAACCAGGCGGCCAGTGCACTGACCCTGACCGAAATGGGCTTTGTTTCAGGGGGAGATAAGGGTCTCCCACCTCCATGGGTGGGCCTTTGGAGTGACCAATGAGTGTGGACAGACACCAAGGCCTGCTCTCCTCTTCCTCTTTATAACCAGGGCCGTGAGGGCACTTAGTACAACCTGCTCTGGGTGTTCGCTGAAGAGAGCCTGAGCCAGCACTCTCCTGCAAAATGACACTGACCCAAGCTGAGAAGGCTGCCGTGACCACCATCTGGGCAAAGGTGGCTACCCAGATTGAGGCCATTGGGGCAGAATCACTGGAGAGGTAAGTCACCCACAGCACCCACCCAGACTTTGCTGTTAGGATGCATCTTGCTTCAGTGCTGCATGAGTGAGACTCATGCAGTCGTGTTAAGATTGATGAGAATGGCTTGATGAACTGTATGCTTTTTAACATGATTTTTTTTTCCTGGAATTACACCTGTGCTACTAAATTCTGATGGCTTCAAAATTTTACAGCAAAAAAATATTTTTTAACCATTCTATGGGTTTGCTTCCCGTTATAGTAATTGAGAAGAATTCATAGCTAGGAACCCTAAAGAGGAATTCAAAGTCATTCATACTCGGTGTCCTGAAATAGGGTTATCACTACTAGGAAATGAACTTAAACTGGTTTATCACATAAGTTGCCATGTAGTGGACATTAAGAGAATAGCTGCCCGCATTTGTTAGATGTTGTTGTTGTTCAAAGTTATTTAAATGCTATTTACAATCAGTCTGAAATATTGTGATATTCCTGCTGGGACTCCGAGTACCACTCATACCAACCCTGGTTCATTCAGCTTATTGCAGTTTGAAGATCTTATAAAATTGCTTACAGTATAATATAGGAAATGTAGGGACAGTTTCAAGTTTCCAAGCTTCAAGCTTCCAAAGCTCTACTAATTGCTGAAGGAGTGTATTTCTGCAGCTTTACAGTGCACTTGTCCTGAGGTTTTGCCAGATCACACATGCCTTTTCTACTGCTGAACTTTGTTGTCTCGTTCTCCTCCAGGCTTTTTGCCAGTTACCCTCAGACGAAAACCTACTTCCCTCACTTTGATCTCAGCCAAGGCTCAGTTCAGCTTCGTGGCCATGGCTCCAAGGTCCTGAATGCCATCGGGGAAGCTGTGAAGAACATCGATGACATTAGAGGTGCTTTGGCCAAACTAAGCGAGCTACATGCTTACATCCTTAGGGTTGACCCAGTGAACTTCAAGGTGAGTGGGCACACTCTCAGGGATGAAAACTACCAGTCACAGAACTAGAGGCCACTGGTCATTTAGACTAATGGGAGTTTAATCCCTGACTGTGTGGTACAGCCTCATGTTGCTGCTGGTTCCCCAGCTGATTTTTAACCTGAGACTGGATCTTCTAGCAAACCATCTGGTCCAGTTTAATCTGTTACCTGGTTGGGATATGTATTCTTTTCATTCCAGAGCATATTGCAGACTCTTAGATTGGCATGTGTTACTTATTACAATGGATTTCATCTTCTTTTTTCCCTTTCAGCTGCTTTCCCAATGTATCCTGTGCTCCGTGGCTGCCCGCTATCCCAGTGATTTCACCCCAGAAGTTCATGCTGCATGGGACAAGTTCCTGTCCAGCGTTTCCTCTGTTCTGACCGAGAAGTACAGATAAATGGCTTCCACACCGGGTTAGGGACATGCACGGATGGCACACAACAGCTGCCAAGTTCTGGGGTATTCTTCCTATGCAGTCCCCTCAACTGTCCTATGCAGGGGCTCAGCCATCTGCAGACTAAAATAAATAATTCAACTGTGATCTATGGTCTCTGTGCTTTCATCTTTCATGTTTCACCCACACCTTAGTGTTTAGGAAGTGTGTTTGGAAATCACTACATAATACAGAGGGGAAAATACTAAGCTGTGTAAGTTCATGTACATAATGAGAACAACATACTGCTGATCATTGCCCAGAACAGGCTAGAGCCCTGTGACTATTACTGCTCACAGTTCAGAAGCTATGTCAACCAAATGTAAAACTGATCAGGAAACATTCCTTTACCCTGCTAGGATAATGAATGGACCCAGGCTTCTTGTTTAGACTCTCCAAAATCCAGCACAGCCTGTTCTGAACAACAGCTGCACTGCCAAATGGCATGATGTGCACAGGGCAATGCTGCGTATTGACTGTATGTGCTCTTCTCCAAAGGGTCTGGACAAGGTGAACACCTTAGGCAATCACACCTGCTTAGTCCCACCTGTTCGGTAAAGGGACATTCCCCTCAGCTTGACATTTCCTATATTTATATCAGGAACTTTGCTTGCTTTTGAAAATCTGGGAAGACTAATGGCCCCTGGAGATAAATGATGATATCTGAGGGACCAAAAATTCCCAGTGTTTGCCATTCCCCTGAGTGGCATGCATGGACCTTCCATGCCTCTCAGCCAATTCCCCAGCTCCCAACTGATAAAAGATATGTGAATTTCTTTCTTTGCATCCTTGCTTTCTCTTCCACAGTATTTCCAAGACTTTACAGTGGTACACATCACCTCTTCACACACACAAAAAACACCTGGAGTGTTAGAGCAGCTTGAAATTCAGAAGCCCCTCCTTTGTTTGTTGGTGTGTTCTCCACTTGAGTGATCCATATGTTGTGGGCAGGCCAATAACTGTGATATCATCCAGGGCATCTGGATGGGTCTGTCTAAGAGCAGAGTGATTCTAGCTTCATTTACTGAGCTCCCTACTCTTCCAGTGGGATTCTTACTGTGTTAGGCTCACTGCTCATGCAGGTCTCAGATTTTTGACGTGAAAAGATGTATGCAAAGCACTGTATTTGGACAAGGAGAAGAGAGATAAGATGCAGAAGTTTTAAACCACCGAGATGCTCTAAATCTGCTGATGTTGACCAGGGCACCAGCAGTAAGTTTTTAAAGCATCCTATCTTTGTGGGTCTCTGGATAACCTGAATGTTTAAATCAACAATTTACAGTGTAGGTCAGCGTGGGATACATCCCTAAGCCCAGATTCGTATCAGTGATTTCATGCAGAGGCTCAGTGAAGGATATGACAGTCCCCAACCACTGCATGCCCTATGGGATGTCCTATGGGAGAGTGGCAGGAGCACACACTGGGATGGGGACAAGGCAGCGAGTCCAGGCCTGATGAGCAAGCAGGTATGGACTTTGGAAAGACCAGGTGCCAAAAAAGAAGGTTATTCCTCACCCAGGTTTCTCTAGGCTGCTGCAGACAGGTGATGGGAACACACAGAGGACAAAGGTGGCATAGGAGGGGAGCAGGCCGAGGGGCTCTTTGTTTGGAGAGGGCTGGATGTGTCAGAAGCTGGAGGATACCAGGGCCTGGGACACATGGAGGACAAGGAGCCATGCAGGCTCTTGGCGAGGTAAGAAGGGTGCATCCTGACAGCAGCACCAAGCAGCACAAGGCTGAGGCCGCAGCATCCACAGGACAGTGGCTGCCAACTGCAGGGTGCAGCCTTGATGCGTGCCTTCCCCCAGCCTGGCGAGGGGCTGCCAGGGATCCCCTCTGCATGCAGTGCAGAGGGCCAACACAGCTAGCAGAGCAGGGCAGGGCAGGGTAGGACAGGGCAGGGCAGGGCAGCAGTGCCCCCTCAGGGCCCCCTCTGTGGGTGTCAGGGCCCCCCGATGCACTGCCGCTCCCTGCTCCCAGCATTGCACAGCCACGGCCCCGCCGTGCGGATAAGATAAGGCTGGGGCGGGTGTACAGGGAGCTATAAGAGGTCGGCCTTGCAGGCTCCTCCACCACACACTGCCACCAGCCACCAGCCCACCCCACCAGCTGCCACCATGCTGACTGCCGAGGACAAGAAGCTCATCCAGCAGGCCTGGGAGAAGGCCGCTTCCCATCAGGAGGAATTTGGAGCTGAGGCTCTAGTTAGGTGCGAGCCAAGCCCAGGAGCACCTGATGGGGTGGGAATCGGGGAGTGGGAGCCAAGGGGTGCGGGCCAGGTCCTGGGGTGTGTGGGCTGGGCCAGGGGGAACTGTGGGGCAGCAGAATGACCAGCCTCGTTCCGGCAGGATGTTCACCGCCTATCCCCAGACCAAGACCTACTTCCCCCACTTCGACCTTTCGCCTGGCTCTGACCAGATCCGTGGCCACGGCAAGAAGGTTTTGGGTGCCCTGAGCAATGCCGTGAAGAATGTGGACAACCTCAGCCAGGCCATGTCTGAGCTTAGCAACCTGCATGCCTACAACCTGCGTGTTGACCCCGTCAACTTCAAGGTAAGCAGAGGCTTGGGTCTGGGGGTCCTGGGGTCAGGAGTCTTGGGATCCTGGAGGTCTTGGGGCCAGGGGGTTCTGGGGCAAAGGGGTCCTGCGATCAGGTTGTCCTTGGATCAGGAGTCCTGGAGCTTTGGGGTCTTGAAGTCAGAGTGTGATGGGTTCCTGGGAGCTGGGATCCTGGGGGCCAGGAGCTGGAGGCCAGGGGTGGTACCAGGGCCAGGATGGGGTACTGACTGGGGCTGAGAGCCCTCCATCCAGAGCAAGGGTACTGAGCCTCTGTTTGCCTTGCAGTTGTTGTCGCAGTGCATCCAGGTGGTGCTGGCTGTACACATGGGCAAAGACTACACCCCCGAAGTGCATGCTGCCTTCGACAAGTTCCTGTCTGCTGTGTCTGCTGTGCTGGCTGAGAAGTACAGATGAGCCACCATCTATAACTTCAAGTCTTCAATAAAGACACCATTGCTGCAGCACTGTGTCCATGTGTGCTGGGGCTGGGGACAGGGCATAGGGGTCCAGGGTGGGCTGGGGCACACTCAATGCTTCCCTGCACCCCTTGGGAGGGAGGGAGGAAGGAAGCTCCTTCCTCCAGGTCTGGCATGGGGCCTGCCTGGTTAAACATGATCCTGAAGCTGGTAGCAGGACTCTGAGGACAGAGCTCAGCCTGCACCTTCCTATGCCTGCAAACCTGCTTGGGGTGGGTGAAGCCAAATGTGTTTCTTCAAACCCCTTAAACAGTTTTCCATAGGGGAAGGATTGACCTCTCCTGGCTCTATCACCATGGCTGTTTAGGACTTCACTGTGAATGCTGTGGAACTAAATGCCTGCATGAATTTTGTGGGCAACCAGACGAGTTCATTGAGTGAAAAAAATCCACTGCAAACTATGAAGTCCAAACACAATTCATAGCCCCTAAGCCACAACTCTCTAGCAATTGCCTGGGAAGGGCCCCTCCACTCGTGCCCTGAGTGCCTGCTTTTCCCATGCCATCTGGAGAGGCTGGAAATGTCACAGGCAGAGCTGTAGTCCAATACAAGGCTGCTGCTTTTACATCATTGGCTTTAGATCTGAAGGAGATGGTGGGTGATCAGATAGTAAACTAGCCCTGGGTTTGTTCTGCATTGTGACCAGAGGAGGAAATCGGGGTTTATGAGGGATGAGGGAAACTGCACCAGAAAATCAGCACCTGCTTTGGTAGGGAGTCCCCATGCCATACCCCGCTCCTGTGAGCTCACTTCCAAATGCAGTGCTTTCCCTCCATACTTCAAAGCACTATCTACATCTCAGCATATCTGTGTTCATTTACAGCCAGTTATTCCCGTGCCCTCAGTTTGAGGAGCTCTTCTGCCTTTGCAGTTTGCCCCACTGACGTGTGCATGGGCAGCAAACACACAGCCTCCCCTTCTTCTGCTTCCCAGAAGAGCAGTCCCCCTCCTCCACTCTTCCCCTCCTCCTGTGCTCTGATATGGTGCCAGGTCAAGCTAATCTCCCCCGAACACAAATGATAAGAACTGCTGGAAATGGAGGAAACACGGGTGTAAACTGTCCCCCCATGCCAGCTCTCAAACCTACTGGAACCACTGCAACCTTTTTCACCTTCCCTGCCCTCCTTATCTTCCTCATCCTCCTCACCTTCCTCCTCACCTTCATCATTTGGGACATGCAGAGCTTACTGGGGGTCGCTATGGCCATACATTCCCCTCTTCCTCTGCTGCGAGCTCCTGTGACTGCAGGACAGTGCCTGCATCAGGATCTGGCACTGACCCTGTAGCTCTTCTGTGTGCCCCATTTCCAGCAGTCAGGGTCACCCTAAGTCCCCATAGCATCAAGGGCTGGGACGAAGGGAGCTCTGGGGTCTGTTTGCAAAGGGATGCAGCTGCGGTGAAGGAGAAAGACATGAAGATGCATTGGGGTGCACTGGTGTGAGGAGTGCAGAAGAAATGAGCAGAAGATGCAGTGAGAAAGAGTGGTGGTGTGTAGGGGCTACATTGCAGAGTGGTGTGTGTAGGGACAGTGCATGTACTGGGGCAGTTTGCATGTGTGTGAGGGCTGTGCTGGAGAGGTCAGTCTGCATCACAGGGGCGGCTCCTTGAGGCTTCCACAGTGCTCCTGAGCCTACAGCCCCCGTATTTCTGTCCCCTCCACTCTGCCTGCTCCCCCTGGGCTGAACACATCCCTTCTAGCCTCCTTAGGCACCCTTCGTTGACACCTCAGCCCTAACTCCATGCCAGGGGGCTGGGGACTGACTGCTCCACCTGCTCCAAGACAGACCCTAACCTCAACCCATGCTGATGCAGACACTAACCCTAATCCTAACCCCAACTCCAGATCATGCCAACATCACATTGCCCCAACCCTAACACCAAACCCAAGCTCGTGCCAGGATCCAACCCCCCCTCCCCCCCAGCCTGTGCAGTATCGTGGGTGGGGCAGGGCAGCAGCCCTGCCTGGCTGGGGTCCAGAATCTATGGGGCGGGCTGGGGGGCGGGCAGTGACCAGCACAGCATATAAGGCTGACAGCAGACTGCAGGGGCACCCGTGCTGGGGGCTGC